TTCTCTCGATTTCTGCCACCATTCACAGAAGAAAGGGGCCAGCGAGAGGTGGCGTAGATAGTGACGTTGCGATGCCATGGCAACGCGCAAGCCGCTTCTTCGCGTGTCTTTCACGTTGAAAAGGAGCGTAGCGTAATTTCGTTTCGTCTGCAATCTCTACAGGGATTTCCCCAGGAATTTAAATCAGGGGGGTCTAAATTTTTTTTTTTTTTTTTTTTTTTTTTGGGGGGGGGGGGGCATTAAGAATATAGGAGTCGTTGCGAATTAAAGGGATACTTCAACGAAATTTCAAATGTTCCCGTCGTGTTCAAAAATAGGTTGAATATGATCCACAATATCCGTAAATGACAATCGCACGTTTGCACTTTGAGCCTGGTGGCTGTATTTTTCGTTATGAACGCGGCCCACTCTGGCAAGCGCTCGGAGAAGGCCCAGCGGAGACCACGTGACATTCAACGCAATCGTGACGTAGGTCGTCTCGGGACGAGCAAAGCTACGGCGAGGCTGACGTCGAGAGGATGGCCTAGGGCCCTAGTCGTTCCAGCCACCGAAGCGGCTGCTTTTGTACGAATTTTGAGTGACGGGTTAATCTTCTATAATCTTGTAGGGGGACAATAGCGACTTCTGCGACACACCAAAGGCTTTTTCGGGAAGAGAGGAGTTCCTCCTTCCCCTCTTCTCTCGTCGTGGCCGGAGGCGAGACACTCACCGTCACTAGCTGTCAAGGTTCCTAGACGGGCATTACAAGCGAGGCGTTAGCGACATCCACGAGGTGCTCTTTACTAATCGTTTAATTCGTTTTAAAATTCTTTTTCGAGACTTTTTTTTAACAAAATATTGGTATGTTCGATGTCATACTGCTCCTTTGAACACATATAGACCAAAAAATGAGCGCCAAAATTTCGTTGTAGTATCCTTTTAAAGGGATACTTCAACGAAATTTCAAATATTCCCGTCGTGTTCAAAAATAGGTTGAATACTTTTTTATTTATTTAACAATACTGCAGGGCCCCGCTAGGGCCCCGGCAGGGGTGGACGTGTAATACATAGTTCAGGACATAAATACGGATATTGTGGAATATGATCCACAATATCCGTAAATGCCAATCGCACGTTTGTATTTTGAGCCTGGTGGCTGTATTTTTTGTTGTAAGCGGCCCACTCTAGCAAGCGCTCGGAGAAGGCCCAGCTCAGAGCACGTGACATCCGACGCAATCGTGACGTAGGTCGTCTCGGCACGAGCAAAGCTACGGCAAGGCTGACGTCGAGGGGATGGCCTAGTCGTTCCAGCCACCGAAGCGGCTGCTTTTGTACAAATTTTGAGTGACAGGTTAATCTTCTATAATCAGGTAGGGAGACAGGCACACACAAAAAGGATTCTCGGGAAGACGGGAGTTCCTCTCGTCGTGGCCGAAGGCGAGACACTCACCGTCACTAGCTGTCAAGGTTCCTAGACGGGCATTACAAACGATGCGTTAGCGACATCCACCAGGTGCTCTTTGCTAATCCCAGCTAAAAATTATCATCAGATCCAATTGGAATTCTAACTGGTTTTAATTAGAACCAATCGGTTTTAATGGGTTCTAATTGGAAGCACACCGGCCACTAGGTCTCACCAGTTGGAAAAAATTTTCCAGTTGGAAACTTAATGGTTTCAAATAGTTCCCGTTCGTTCCCATAACTGGTACCAATTGGAAATTTCAATTGGAATCTAATGAGAATTTCGACTGGGATCGTTTAATTCGTTTTAAAATTCCTTTTCGTGAATTTTTTAACAAGATATTGGTGTGTTCGAAGTGATACTGCTCCTTTGAACACATATAGACCAACAAATGAGCGGCGAAATTTCGTTGTAGTATCCCTTCAAGGGGGTCCCTTCGGAAAAACAAGGGGGGGAGGGGAGGGAAATCACTGAATCTCTATTTCCCCCAATGCTCTGGAAGTAGCTTTCATCTCTGGCGCGCAGCCGGGGCAGTAAGGGATTGACCTGTCCCTCTATGTTTCGGTAGCGCAAACTCGGACGGACCCAAAACCTGCGCCTCCTTCCCTTCAAAGCGCGGAGACGTCGCAAGATCGACGAGCAGGCTAGGATGATCACATTCACGCTGATCACCAGGTCATCATCGACACCTGCCATGTAGGCAGCGAGTGCCGTCTCGACCCTGATATATGCGAAATATGAGAGCCGAAACGGAAGAACCTAACGAAGAGCAGACAACAAAAGCGCAGAAAATCCGGTGGAGGCGCGTGCGCGATCTCGAGAGCCCCGCAAAACGGAAGCCAATGTGGCCCTTCTCCAGGGATTATTTTCGTCATTCTTGTCCAGCTCGCTTGCACCTCTGTATTAATTGCATTATCACGATGTAGTCCCCTCGCATTGAAACGCCGGACGGCGGTGCCGCAGCTGGGCGGCACCGAAAGAACAGCCTAGTTCTACCTCAGACAAATCAGTCGCTACTTTTCAATATGTCCGGGGACGTATATAGTCAAGCAAGCCAGCGCCGCATTTGGAAGTTAGCAACGAGGAGAGGAGCAGGAGAAGCAGACGATGGGCCGGCGCCTGCCCATTGTTGCTCTTCTTTGCCGGTGGAGGCGTTGACTATCGCCCAACTGTTTGCATAGACCAAACACAGTAGTGACTGTTCTATGTCACTCTTCTCTACATTCCCCTCTAATACTCGTGCGTAGCGTACGAGTATTAGGCAACTAAGTGAAGCCCCTGTACATTGTTGTATCCCTCTCCCGTCCTTGTAAATATTTAAGATCTCCATTATTTAATCTCCCACTTTTAAGCCTCTCGTTACGAGCTCTTGTGTGCACATATCCTAAGAATTATGGTTGAAAAACAAATAGTCCTCCTATGTCTTTTGTAGTCCTCAAGGCTCCCTCATAATCTACACATTCCTGCACGACTACTCACTACGCTAAGTCGAAGGGACCGGGATGCGTATCGCCGCCTGCTTCGATTGGTCAGCGCCAGCGGCAATGTCTCGGCCCGTAGCAACTGTTTTTTTTTTTTTTTTTTTTCATGTTTTTCTTAGAGTTGCAATTTCATTCAATCGACCAGTGTGTCCAAACGTGACAGTTGATGAATAAACACTTTCAGAATCATAGCTCCATGGCCCAGCTTTGCATATTTCACCACACTAGTAGTTGTAATGGCAGCATCATGTCACACTAAAAAAGGTAAGAATTTTTCTATGCGAATTTAAACAGCGTAAGTTAATTTACCTTCCCTGCCATGCTTGCACCACGTAAAGGACTATGAAATCTATGGGTGTAAGCAACTTATGTGAATCTGACAAGCCTAGCTACGAATTGAACTTTTACCAACAAAACCATTCAATATCTGCCAGTTTTCTTTTTTTTTTTTTGCAAATTCAGCAAAGATTAGGGCAAGCTAAATATTATCATAATACTCTGCAACCAAATTCCCAAGTCAATAAAACGACAGTTCATGAAATGACATGCAAGCTTTGCGGATGATTACACATTACTTCCATATGAACATGGTGAGCTATGCAAATACAATTTCATTTTCTATGCCCCGTTATGTTCAGTAATGAATAAAAATCCTGCAGGTCTGCATATTTCCCAAGTTGTCAGGCTGCTGAGGGGTTTTATTAGAAACATTTTTCTACGAGCATCATCAAAAAACTTTACTTTCGAAGATTTGCAATAACAGTAAACATAAGACATACAAACAAAGGTGAAGGTTCAAACAAGTACAGCGGTGAACAGACATTTTGCACATGGCAAGACAGAAAGCTACTCTTTCTTTAGCTCACCCACCCTTACCTCACATACACAACACAGGTATAACACATACCTGTCTTGGTGCACAGGCATTCCAACAAGCACACTATATATATATTATGTACATGTGTTTACACCAAAGGGAATATTTTTGCTCTTTGTACAATTTGTGAAGGAGAACAAGATTGTACATATGAAATGTACATCTTTAGACACTCGCCCAGAATCACACTCTTGATCAGAGATGGTGTTGAAAGTTACAAGTATTTATATATGTATACATATATGCACAAAGAAAAAAACCTCCTCAATATGAAGATGTGGAATGAAAGCTGGTTGCAAGAAAACTTAGCACCAATGACATACAAGCAAGTCTAGCCCTAGAAAACTACGCTCTTCTGTTCTGCATTTGTAGAACAAGACATTGCTCTGTCTTCTGCAAGTTTTCTGCAACTAAAATAATACTTCGCTTACTCCATTCAACCTGTCTTAACTAACAAAAGAACTACACTGGTAAAGTGGCAGGCAAAAAAAGGTTGTTTATATTAATGCTTTGCTCTTTTAGTCAATGTTTGACAAATTTAACCTCAGATCAAGCATGTACAGAAAATCAAAACCTAACAACATTACTACTCATATTGGTCACCCTCATTAAAATGGCAAAAGAACTTGTGACAATTGCATACAATACCTGCCACAACCACTGTGACAAAAAAAAAGGCAGTGAAAGAAAACCGACAGTAAAATGTCTAAAAGGACACTTGTGGCTGTTTACATGGTCCATATCACACTTCTAGCCCTCCTCAATGAGGAAAAGCATGAGAGGAGTGGCAAGGGGCAGAGAGTCAAGAATCTGACACACACTGACTAGCTTGACCTGTTATTTTCTTGTGTTTTGCTTTCATTCTCCAGTGCATCGGTTCATTTGGGACCTGTCTCGATGCTGCTTTCTCAACTTCAGGAGCGAGCCTGCGTGCAACATGACGCTTCGTGCAACAGGAGACTCCTTAAATGCTCTTTTCAAGACGGAGGCTTCCGACCTTTCAAAAATGCTCCTAACCTCATTTCTTGAGATTGGCAGATACTTGTGATTCTATACTCCGTTGCAACCTAAGAACGAAGGGCGAGGGTAATATGAGCCGGGGAGAAGGAAGCAGACGGAACCCTGGAGAAGAGAGGGGGAAACCTCCTTCTCTCTTTAGCGTTCCGTCTGCTTCCTCCTCCCCGGCCCGTCTTACCCTCGCCCTTCGTTCTTAGGTTGCAACGGACTATAGAGTTACACAATCTTTGCAGAAATCAAGAAAAATTAATTTAGCAAACAGTGTTACTCAACATTCTAATAAACCAAACCGGGAACTACAAATTTAGTTGAAAAAGCTCAATTTCGATGCTCAGGATCTTCAATTTAGTGCTGCAACACTATTAAAACACCACTGGAGCTTCACGAAATAGGCAGCACTTCACTCGCAACGTAGAACTGAGATCCTTATGGCAGAAACGATTTGTAATAGAGAAGTACACATAAAACTAAAACAGGTATCATGCCCCTTTAAGCTTTCATTGATCTGAACCTCAATGAATAACTCCTCTAAACTTACGTGCAAGTAATCGGCAAACCCGCGACGAAAAGCAATAAATTAAGACGCAAACAAAATATCATCCAAAGTAATATGCACATTCGTATAGCCTACATGTGGCTTTGTAGCTTTCAAAAGATAAAACTAGAGGTAGCTATACCTGCAAAAGGGAAACACATGAAAATTGTAGTAGAAGTGAAGCTGATCATAGAACTGTTCTTGTTGCCTAATCCTCAGAGTGTCACGACATAACCGAGCTCATGCACAGTTCGCCACCTGTGGCGGCAGCACTGGGCATGCGCTCAAGCGGTAGGAACACTGCGGAAAGTCATCATTTTGAATAGAGCTGGATGAACCAAGCTTATGTATGTAACTGAAAGGATCAGCCCTTTGCAGTCATTAAAGGCCAATGCACAAGATCACTTTAATCCGGCTGAAAATCCCCCCTTTCCGCCCTTCACCTCACCTAAATGTAACTATCTCAAGAGTTCTGTGCAGTGTCGGGGAAGGCACGGACGCAGAAGCGTCGCCCCAGAGAGTGTTTTCCTTGCACGAATGCTAGTGCAACTTCAGCCTTTAGCATGGCTGCACTCTTGAGTTTGTGCCTTTGACAGCATTAAACAGAACTTGTGAGATGTATGATCCCTCCATACAGGGGATTTCCTCCTTTCTGGTCATGCATCAGCCTTTTAACTATTCTTGAGCCTGTCTGCATTTAGAGTTGCGAAGGTCTAGATAGCTAAGCTTAGAAAAAAGCCCCAGACGCACACTTGGTGCCATGAAGCATTGTGGTGGTCGCAGGCCCCAAACGGGTCCTAATAAAAAACATACTTATCCATTAAAAAAAAAAAAAAAACTTTTTAAGAGCTTGCACTTATTTTAGAGTTTCAAACGACTTGCATTAAACTGTTGGGTGTGACCTGACAAATGACTGCAAAAGGATTGAACAGGATTCATACTTGAGTAGGTTCAAGAACGATCATGTCAGAAAATAACGGGTAGATAAATAATTTCAATCTGCGACATAAAAAAACCCAAGACTTGCAATGACAGAGCAAAAGTTCATGTGGAAAAACCTTTTTAAAATGTCAGCTAAAAAAGAAAACTCCCCCACATACTAGTTTGCCATGCTTTCTCCACAAAAATTTGTTCACCAAGGTCTATTTCTCCCAAAGTGAGTTCTTAAACAGTGTTAAATTACGTTGCACACTATTTCCATGCCTCCTAGTCCTGTCATCATTTCCACCATCAGTCCATTAGTCTTCGTGGAACAGCCCTATGTATTGCACTCCCAACAATGCATTGCACAGCACGGATGCTGCTCTAGGCTCTCAGGAGGACTAGACAACCTCTTGGGTGTTTGGCTTGACAAGAAAAAATTACAGCTGCTGTAGCACATTAAAAAAAAAAATGCCAACATTGAAAAAAAAAAAAAAAATGTTGCCTTTAGATTTTTTGCATAGCAGTTTGCCTGCAAGAAAACTAAAGGGTGCACAATCTAATAAAAAGTAGCAAAATTAGGTTACATACAATTTTGTTAAAATCACACACACAAGCAAAAAGAATCATGCAAGTTGTTCAGGGGTAAAGGTATTACTGCAATAAACAAACCTAGCTATCCTAAAAAAAGGTACACTACCTAGTTGACAACAGAAACGTAAACGTGGTAAAGTGGACCTCAAACACCGCTCATCTAGGGAGAGCTGCAAGAATATTTTGTTCACCCTTCGAGAAGTTTCCTCTCCCAGTCTTAAAGCAGGCATCCTGCGAGGAGCTGCAATGTCTTCCATACACACCGCTCCATTCCCCACTTGGGCCTCCACCATCCTCACTACTGCCACCGCAAAGGAAACACTCCCTCAGGGGGAAAACTTGAGATCTCCAGCAGTCCATTTGCACAAACTGTGCTAAAATACTTCTAAGGAAATCTTTATCTTCAAAAATACAATAATTGTTCAATCTATGCCTCTCAACTTCGGGTGATTAGGGGTAATGTTAGCTTTTGGCTGCAACACGATCCTTATAGTACATGTCATGGTCACAAGCACATGTATCAAGCACTGTAGAGCCTAGACAAGGTGCATGTTTGTTCATTTTTGTTGCATTTGTCCCTTTTTTAGTGCTCGACATTGCCCAGTGTCCATAGAAAAAAACAAGGAGAAGGCAGAATTCCCATTTTCTTCCATCATAAACTGCAAGCAGCCACACGCAGCACGTGAAGGCTCCGATTTCTATTACACCGCAAAAAACAGCGGGTGGTCAGTACCTCTCTGTTGCTGCTTCCGACCGCCTACCATCAGGGTTTACAAGCTTCTTTCTGGACGAGTTGAGTCAAGGTCATTCCGCGAAAGAATGCCTTGGCTCGTGACACAATGGACGCAGCTGGAGATCGCACATTTTGCCCCTGCCAGGAATGCCCAAGAGCGTCGCACCGGAGAACTCTAAGAGTCTTTTCCCAACACATTTCCCCTAACCCTTACCCTAAGAACCGTCGACAGTTCCCCTAGACTCCCCGCTCCCTCCCCTCCGCGGTGCCCCTGCGAGGACTCGGTACATTTGGCAGTGGCGGCGTCTGCGGCAGCCGGGCTGAGAGGGAATCCGGGCGTGCGGTGCGTGCGTCAAAGGCGACGCTTGGCGGGACGCAGCTCCACGGCCTCAGGGGGAAGGTGGCCCGGTTGCCGCGACGACGAGGGTCCCGAAGAGGACGAGGAGGCTACGCCCCGGCTGTAGTGACCCCTCCCCTGGCCATAGCCATGGGACGGCCCTGCCGGGGGGGCCGTGGGGCGAGGGCCCGGGTACGGAGGGGGAGGGCCCCCGGGGACTGCCGCTTCGGGGGGAAGGCGGCGCTGCGGGAGGAAAAAGGCGCGCAACGTTAGCTCGCCCCAGCCAGATTCCTTCAAACGGCTCTGTGCGTCAAAAAAGTAAAATAAATAGTGAAAACAAAAAAAAAAAGTGCACAAAGGAACAACGAAATGAAGTTGAAGAAATGCGCACACATGGCACAAGCACTAGCTGGTAGCGGATGTTTATTAAATTTTCCAACGTCGCAAAAACCGTTTCGCACAAACACACTTTCACAGTATTGTGAAAAAAAAAAAAAAGCGACGCAGCATCAAAACGTAGCGGGAAGTTATCGCTTTTCATAAACTGCTGCTTGGTAAGGCAGGATACAAGTGAGTCATGAAAGCATGCGACATAAATGGGCAATGACAAGAGTCGTGTACGCTTTCAGAGGCCATTCATCATTAGGTCGATCAACCAGCCAGCCCAGCAATCCACTATTTTACAGCTAAAGTACCATGGCGATTTCTCTAGGGAGAACTCGCAGAGTAAACCCGGCACATTATCTGTGTTCAAATGAAAAGCAAGAAATTTTGCTAAACATTTTGGGACAACATAAGAGTTACTTCCCCCCTGCTCTATGGTACAGCAGCGTAGAAACTTCCTCGCAGTAAAGCAAAATGTGCTTTGCCTGTTCCAAATGCAGCTGAAATTTAGGTGAGCACCTAAAGCTGGGTCTAACACATGGGCACTCATGTTTATGCATTTTACCAGTTCATAACCTTGTAGAATGTGCCCAACCTCAAACATTTTTCACATGCACTTTCAATGAACACCCACCGGTCCGTCCACATTGTGTCTGACTTAGGGACGTGATTGAGCCAAAAGAGGCGCCCAACTTGGACCACGCTGTAGACCCACCGTCTACAACGCAGCACGAGTAGATACTTAAGACTAGGTCAGTGAATAGGCTACCAGCAAGTTAGTGAAAGTAGCCTTGTTGGTACAAATACGACCAATATCCTGTCTTCACATTTGAGGCTTTTAGTTTGCCATTTGTTGGTGCAAATACGACCAACATCCTGTCTTCGCATTTCAGGCTTTTAGTTTGCCATTTGTTGCAGAGCCTTAGAGACCCAGTCTGCAGTAGTGTGACAAAGCACCATCCTGGGACGGGAGCCGAACCCCACCTTTCTCCGGAAGGTGTCCCCCGGCCTGCGTAGTGTGTCCGCTATCCTGAGGGCAGGGGCCCTGCGGGGGTTGCTGCTGGGGGTGTGCACGGCGCAGCAGCGGATGAACACCGCCATCACCACTATGAGCGCTATCAGCATGAGCAGCACGGCCCACCAGTTGAGCTGCAGTGTGGGGAGAGTAAAATGCGCAGCCCTTCAGTATCTCAGATTGGGCGACAGCTTTTCATGCATCTCTCTTCAACACTCACACCACATATTCTATATCACTGCCAGCCACTACAAAGTGCGTTCATATGCTTTAGTAGTCCTTTTTTGCCACAATTGTATATTGTAGTGCAGGGCTGTCAAAGGAGTGGCCCGCAGAAGCGCTCTCGGTCTAATCCCCAAATAGTTGGTCAATTTTTTTTCGCCAACCTTAATTCACAAAGTTATTTCAGCTCTCGTGAACAACATAGCTTGCTCGGCATATAAAAATCATTAATTGTTGTAGCTACTATGAAAAAAGGCCCTAAAGTCCTAAAGGTAAAAATAACATATTCTGAGTTGCATTTTATAAAGTTTAGATCATGTATAGACCGACACGCGGAGCGGCTCTGTTTACCAACACGGCCGGAAGGCCGCGCATGCGCGGTAGCTATGTGGGCAAAAGCATCCCGGCTCTCCGTGTTTTCGCCATTGCGCTCTATGGCGTGCGCTCGTTGTTGACGTTGCAGGGACGCTTGTATCTTTATTTGTGCGTCGTATTTCCTCATAACGTATGTCGTATGCTATGCCCGACTATTTGAGCTCGTTGCCCGAGCCTGAACGGTAGCGGTATCGAAACAAACTGTGCGTGGACGGCGTTGCCTACGAGGATCCGTACGCCGTAAACAAGGCCTAGCTGTTGGACTTCCGACGTAAAGTTGCTGCCACGGAAGTCGACGGCTCAGGTCGTCGTTTATTTAGTTTTCGCCAAGTCAGTTCACGGCCGACAGGGTGCAGGCCTACAAGTCTCTCAAGGCCTACGATTACATCGAGTCGGTTTCCGCACTGCCGGCGGGATCAGCAGACTGTGGGTCTGCGGAAGTGTGTGTATTCATTAATTGATTAAATACACAGAGCGTCTTCAAGTCAAGGTATGATATTTTTCATACCCTCGTGACCACAAGGCATTACAACCAGTAAAGGTTTGTCCGTTCTGCAGTCTTGGCGGTAACAGGTTACAAGTAACGGCGTTACCAGGAACGCGTTACTTTTTTCAGTAACGTAGTTCCCTACTCGCTACGTTTTTGACACAGTAACGGGTAACGTACTTATGCTACTATTTCAAATAACGTAGTTACGTTAGTCGTTACTACTTCCCATGTCTTAAAGAAATCGCACTTCAATTGTTTCCGTGTTTTAGGCGTGAAGCCATGTTTTCTTTGCGATTTTTCTCGTAAGTATTTAGGTGAAACCGTAAAAAGAGATAAAGTATTTATGTTCAGCTTCTGCTTGATATATGACCTGTATCGTCAAAACCGTAAAATGTGTTAAATCATAATTTAAAAAAGGAACGCAGAAGTAACGTGCCTTACTTTTCATCGGTAGCGGTAACGCGTTTCTTTTATATTTAGGTAACGTAGCTCAGTAACGCGTACCTTTTATTTGCAAGTAACGAGTGACGTATTTCGTTACTTTTTTTCGGTAACGCCTACAACTCTGCCGTTCTGTCGCCGATCCCCTTCTGCTCGGTAGCACGTGCGTAGCGAGCCCCCGACAAGCGCTTGGCCGGTGCGTTGTGCGCGAACACCGTGGGAACAAAATCCGGGTGGTCTTGATCAGACGACGGTTTCCCTGCACATAAGCAAGCCTCGCGACGGAGATTGAAATGGAAGCCGCACTTGCCTCCAAGAAAGTGTTTGCCGCACAAACGGTCGCTCGCGCGAGGCGACCATTCTTTTCGATCCACGGATATTATCCACCTTCTATGCCTTTCAGAGTCTGCCGGGAACTTGTGGAAACTCACTCCGCTGCTTTTCTTGTACATTTCGGTGCAATTAACGACAACACAGCTTCGCTACATGCTGAAATGCTATGACGCCCATGCGAAACGTGCGCGCTTTTGCCCACACCCCCCGGCTCCGGCGCGATCGCAGCGCCGCCGCAGCTCCGTGACGTCAAACCCGCGTGTCGGTGTATACAGCAGCACTAATCATGGGGCACAGTAGAATATGCCAAGATGCTGCAAACAGGAACTTATCACTGCATTTTTGATTTTAGTTTAGACTGTTGGGAGCCAGGACCTCGGTGTGACGTTATCGACCAGGGCCCGAAAAATTACGGCGTGGTATGCAATGGCTTCACGCGCTACGCCGAGGGCAGGCATCCAGTAATTGAAACCAAAATTGCTAAACGGAAAGAATGCACCAATGAACAACCTAAAGAGACTCGGTAAATTCTATGTCGCAATCCATGATGAGTAATGCCATACACATAATTTAAAGTTAAAAAATCTTGACCCATTCCACTCTGTGAAGGTGGATGAAGCTGTTTAGCACACGACACAGACGTAACATAGAATTTTGAACAAAGGTACAAACACATTTATTGCCTTGATCAGTGGTCATAGTGACGAAAGGTATGCACACACATTCATTGTTGTCTTGATCGGTGGTCATTATTTAGCGTGGACGACTATCGCCGCCCCAAGAACTAGACGCGTGACGGGACCGCCACCCAACAGAAAGTAGACACGCGTGACGGGATCGCCACCCTGGGAGAGCGGAAGGAAAGGAATCTAGGCACGCAAGCACATGGATCTACAATAAAGAGTGCGGTGCGAGCATAGACTTGGCCGACGCAAATCGCACAGCGGCAAATCTTTGAGAAACCTTTATTATCTACCTGAGGGTCTACTGACCTCGCAAATGGTGCCTATTGATAACTAATCTACTGAAGAGACCTACTGCTAAATTACCCAAGCATCAAGGAGAATGCAGAGAATGGTGTTCCACGTGCTGCAAAAGCCGGCGTCTGCAGTAGTAACTGTTCTAAAGCAAAAGCCGAAAACAAATGGCATCTTGCGCATGCGTTCGTTAACGCCGTTTTATTTGTTATTTACTTTGAATCTTTTATACGGAGAAGGCGTGCGCATGTGGCACCAGCGTCTGCAGCAGTAACTGTTCTAAAGCAAAAGCCTAAAAAAATGGCATCTTGCACGCACGTTCATCAACGCTTTATTTTGGTTATTTACTTTGAATCTTTTATACGAGGAATGTGTGCGCGTGCGGCGATGCGAGCATAGAGCTTTTGTTGATGCACATAAAAAATCCACAGAACCCTAGCCATAAAAAGCTTCGCTGTAAAAAAAAAATGCAACCTAGGCATTTGATGCTTCCACACCCTCGATACCGCTTTGAACGCATGACTTTCGAAATGGCCCCAATGCACAGTCTTTCCTTCATGCACCACCCTTTGAAAACCAATGAGAGTAGATGACAAAACAGTGTGGTTAACATAGCATGCTAAGTCTGGTTCACACATTAGCATTTGCTTACGACCGAGTTCTCGCGATCTGTTACCACGAAAGAACACGCTGGCACCATCTACGAGGTGGCCCTGGAACTGTGTTCGACAAGAGCGAATTCCTGTATTTGCTGCATCAAATGTACATATTATTTATAAAAAATGGTTGTTTATAACTTCTATAAATGCTTTTTGAGCCAATAAAGAATGGATGATGTGCGGGAAAAAGTAAGAAATGCACGGAAATCACGAGTGTTCCAGAATGCACTTGGTCATAAGCAGTTGCAGGCGTGTGAACCAGCTTTTACGTGAACCAGGCAGTACGCGCCACCACCCTCCTAACCGTCAGGCGGAGGGGGAATGGCCGCCTTCCCTCACCGTGACCCACTGCTTGACGGTGTGCAGGGACTGCTTGTCGAAGAGCAGCCGCTTGAGCCGGGCCAGGGGCCCCTCCGCGTCCACGTTGCGGCACTTCTGGAACACGTCGCAGTAGCCCTGGAAGCTGTTGCAGGGCGAGCCCGGTCGCAGCTTGATGCCCCGGATCTCCCGCATTCGCTCTATGTCGTATGTGCTCTTGCACGTCTCGGGCCGATCTGCTCGCCGCCGGAAAGGGAGAAAGCGAGACGAGGAGACACGGTCAGGAGCAGTCCCCAGGATCTGATGCGACGGTGCAATGTCCCCAAAAGCATGCAAAAAGCGTCTCGGTAATTCAGACTCATTAAAACCACTTTTGAAATCGTAAAACGCCGTCGCTTGGAAAATCGGTGTTTCGGCGTCCATGGCTAAATAAGAATAAGGCCATGTGTTGCAACCTGTCCTAGTCCGCGGCTGACACTAGGCTAGAGCTCTGCACGGGTCTGGGCTAACCCGAAAGCCCGGGCTGGGCCAGGTAGCGTGCACTCTCCTCGGGCCGGGAGCAAAGCAGCAGCAGTTTTTCCTGAACAGAACGAGTGCACTGGTGCTTCCCAAAGGCTGCTTCAGATTTAGGAGATGAGGTATGCCTTGACGGACAAAGTGTCTCCAGCCGGGTTGGCCTTGGGGACAGACTGAGTCAGTGGGCCCGGGCCTCAAAATGCAGGCTTGCGCAATGTTCTCCACAAGGTGGCATTGTGGTAGCTGATGGAGGGCTACCTTTCTCTAGGAGAGGATTAGGGTCTGTGGAACCACATTTATTTTCTGCCTAAACCCTTTCCGCTTGCAACAACTCATATGCAGGCTGTCCTACAAAGATAGACCACAGATTTTCTGGGAAATCAATATATTGCACACAAACAAATCCAATTGGTCCTCATTAGAACATACTTTGAGAAACACATCCAACATTTAGAATAATTAAGTATAAATATTCAGACGTTTACCTGCCCAAAAGAGCTTTAATTATAACTCTACGAAACAATATCTAAAGCTCCTAAATCAAGTATACTATTGGCGAGCTATAAAATGCATGCTTTGTTCCTTTCGCTCGCAACCAACACGTGTAATTTGGAGGCACCGATAGGTCTTTAAAAATTAACTGTAAAGTTGCATTAAAATTTTAAAAACAGAATAAAAAAATTAATTACTTAATTATTATCTTAAAGGGATGCTTACACGAAATTTGAAATATACCCGTCGTATTCACAAATAAGCTGAGTATGATCCACAATATCCGTAAATGACAATTGCACATTTGTATTTTAAGCCTAATGGCTGTATTTTTCGTTATAAACGGCCCGCTCTGGCAAACGCTCGGAGAGCAGCCAGCGGAGAGCACGTCACATGCACCGTGATCGAGGCGTAGTTTGTCTCGGGACATTGCGCCTGGACGCACCGGACGTTGCGAGCTAACCCAGCCAATCCTGCTCTGTGAACAAAGCCCATGATACACTTTCCGGGTGTCGCTGTACCCCCTCACCAAGGTCACGTGACATGCTCACGGCCTTGGATGGGCCCCGATGGCTCGTAGCATCCGATTAAAGCAGTCGAAGCACACCAGCGATCCAGCCACCGCAAGTAACCCTAAAGCTGTCTTTGTACGAACTTTGAGTGAGGGGTTGATCTTGTATAATCTTGTAAAAGGACAATAGCGACTTCTTGGACACACAGAAGAGTCTCGGGGAAAGGGGAGTTCCTCCTTCAGCTATTCTCTCGTCGTGGCCGGAGGCAAGACAGTTAATGTCACAACCTGTCAAGGATCCTAGATGGGCATTACAAACGAGGTGTTAGTGACATCCACCAGGTGCTCTTTGCCAATCGTTTAATTCGTTTTAAAATTCTTTTTCGTGTCTTTTTCAACAAGTGATTGGTGTGTCTGATGAAATAACGCTCCATTGAACACGAATAAATAAAGAAATAAGCGCCGAAATTTTGTTGTAGTATCCCTTTAAGAAAGGTAACTGGAAACTCCTCTCTAAATGTGAGCCTTGGCACAAAATTACGGAGCAGAGAAAATATTAGCATAACATTAAAGGGTAACTTTGGTACATTTTCTTGATTTTAGGGTAACAACTGCTTTTAGTGAAAGAAGTGTCCCTGAATCGCAAGGTGTAATGTTTTTTCGGTGTCTTGCATAGTTTATTTATAGATATCTCAAAGTACTGTTTTGGGGGTCTACGGCGAAACCAGGACTACCACCTCCAGCATCGTGGCAACCCTTGTGATCAGCTACATGCCATCGTGTGACGCAAAGTTTGTACCACAGTACCACCGAACGTATGACTGGCCTAGTCGCAAGAGCAGTTCCTATCAGTCGGGGTAAAATGCTACGGCTGTTTTACAGATTTGTTCAGTAAATACCAAACATCTGAAACCAATATTTATTCACCCATTCATAAACTTACCATTCCAAAAAGCGAGTTTGCCTCAATCAACTTAGGCTTTGCGCAGGGTCAGAAAGACATCTTCTGAGAACTACAATCTTGGTGGTGTGTAATGCACATCGCAGAAGCATTGTGGAAGCTCATGCTGAGCGGGAATAGACTAAACTAGGGCCGCCAGTGAATGCCACCTCCAGCACCACGACGTGCTTAAGCAAGTAGGAAGTCAATAATCTCTGTGCGCGATCGCCGAGGAGCACTTACGAACAACGGCCCCTAAACCTTAATATGACAAGCAGAAATCGTTCGCTGGGGCAGCTGAAATTGCAGCAGAAAAACACAGCGCAAGAAGCGATAGTGCAAAAAGTAACCGTGACATCTGGGCACAAGGTTGCTCGACAAACAGCCAACCCGTTGAATGCCTGCTGAGAAGGTGGGTAGCATTTTTAACAGCCGTTTTAGAGTGGATTATAGTTTACCATTAGTGTAACATTTTGGCAGTGCTTGTATTTAGTCTCCGTAAATGGATATTACGGCAGTCATTTATTTTGCTTCGACTTTGACCTTTAACAGAAAAAAAAAAATTCCTTGACACACTGCAGTATGTTACACCAACAATCCCAATAAACATTGTGAACCAGATTAAGCAACTTAACAACTTAATAGAAATTTGAATAAATGAAGAATAATAAACATTTACATTATTGCAATAATTTCTTGGATACACACCTTAGTAGTCATGTCCATTTGGCTAGTTTCGAAGGAAATAAGTCAGTGATTTACATGTGTCTTCCGATGTCTGTGTTCGGTCCAGTTTTTGTTCCTCGTGTGCATGAATTTGATCAGCTGTCATGTGAATTGTGGTGTGGTCATCCCAGCTTTTCTAGAAGACACAGATTGCGTTCTCAAGTAAAAGGTAACTGATACAAAGTCGGGGCAGTCTCCAGCAACCTTCATTACTTAATCTACAACGTTAACTTCAAAAATACTGTAAAACCCTTATTTTTGGCAGGCTCTACTTTTTGCAAATCAGTCAGACAAAATTACACCCACTAAACTTTGTGAATTGTTCAATTCGCGAAAATTAAGGGCTTGCAAATATTAAGGGTTTTATAGTATTTCTATGAAGAAAAAAAAACTAAAATGGGCAAGCATTATATACTTTATGAGGTACTAACTGCATGCAACCATGCCCTTGCATTGTTTGAGGGTACCTACCCTTTCCCAAAGACATGATATCGCTAACAAACATACCGTAAAGTTGCAAGAGAATGCCTGCCCCCGAGAGAATGCCCACCCTTGAGAAATCGCCATCCTGTTTTTCTGGTTTAATATCCAACATTAAAATTCCGAAACATAGCCCAACCCCCGATTCCTGTCTGACGTCACGAAATGTCCGACAGGAATCGCATCGACCACGCAATTTGCTGTACCGGCACGTCAAACAAGTGTTTTCGACTGCAATATCGGCTCTTGTAACACGTGAGTTGTTCCTGTGTGTATGTTGCACCGTGAAATGCGAATCTGCGGTATCCATTCCCGTAACATAAAAGTGAGTTTTTGTAGATTGTTTCCGCCATCCCACAACGGCTCTCCGCAACCCGCTACGACATTCAGAACTCTACAGTCAAGGCTATCGGTGTACAGGCGGAGTAGCGGCGGCTTTGTTGAGGAGGGCTTAAGGCCTGTCCAAACAGGATACTACAAAACTCACGACTCTGGCAAATCGTGCCGCGCTGCGCTTCCGACCGTCGGGAGGAAATTTCCTTCCGTCAAAGCCCTGCTGGGAGAAACTTCCCCGATCAAATCTCCCCCTCGCTTCCTCCACGGTGGCCTTGCTCTGTTCACCACATGGGTCCGGAAAGGCCACTCACACGCTCTGTTGGCTGTCGGTCAATCGCTCAAGGCCTCCGCCGTTTTTACAAGTCCCGAAAACGGAAAAGGGAAGATTAGAGCATGAGGGGGCAAGCCAGGCGAGTGCACGTGGTGTCCAAGGTCGTGTCATCTTCCAGGTCTTCCAGCAGTTCTGTGGATTGGATTGGATTCCTGCAGCTCTTGTTCCTAACGTACCTCGTATAGACAAACAAACCTGGTTGGTTTGGAGTTTAATAAAATAAATTATATATTCTTAAGTTCTCAGTGTTTCTACATACAACTAAAAGTCTCAAAGTTGCGCACTGCACTTTAGGTTTTTCAAGCTACGAACGTGGATCTTGACAAAGAATGCTGAGCCAGGGCGGCCGAAACGCACCCTTCGATGCAGGAATGTCCTAAATCCACTCGAAGCCGGACCTCCTTGGCCTTCGAGCTGAAGCGACAGCGATACGCGAGGGCGTCGGCGAGGTGAGCCAGACGCAGGTGGCATGTGACTTCAAATCCCACGAGCACCGACGTCAGAGAAAAGTGGAGGAGGCAAGGAGAGCAGTCGTGATCGTTAAAATTTTCAAGACGCCTGCAAACATTTTCACGACTCCTGCAAACATTTTCACGACTCCTGCAAACATTTTCACGACTCCTGCAAACATTTTCCCGACTCCGACAAATCGTAAAAATAGAAGCGTCCGCTTCAATTTTCACAATTTGTCGGAGTCGTGCGTTTTGTAGAGTCCTGTTTGGACACCCCTCTAGAGGTGCATGAAATGAGGTCTACAAAAACTCTCTAAAGTTTGTAGCAGATTCGTGTGTTTTTGTCCGCGACCTATGTGCGCGATCTCGATTCTGCGCGAGTTGGTCCCACGTATATATTGCATAGTGGATTACGATTAGTTCGCGATCTGTGGTATTTGTTTACTCAACATATGAGTTTGTAGTGGATTCCTCAGTTTTTGTCTGCGATCTGCGCAAACGATATCGGTTCCCCCAACAGGCAAGTTTGTAGCGGGTTCCTGCACGTTTATTGCACCATAAAACTTGAATCTGCTGCGTTCGCAATTTGCGGTATCCTTGCCCGTGACAGAGGAGTTTGTAGCGAATTCCCCCGCTTATCGCGTCGTGAAACGCCCCGCAATATCAATTCCCGCGTCACATAGTTTGTAGCCAGTACCAGGGTGTTTATTATTAATTTTTTTATAAAGTTTTGCTGTGGTACCCCTAAATATAGCCAACCCCATGTTTTTCACTATTTACACCTTCATTTTGGGTGGGCGTTCTTTTGGAACTTTACGATAATACATTTTCTAATGATGATGCCATAAGCTTCTTCTTGACATGGACAAACAAAATTTGCATGTTAGAAGCCAAGACAACAATAATTTGATTAAAATTTTTACATTATTCCTCTATGGACAATGTAATAATAGTAGGTACGTGCAAATAGTGGTTTGAATTGAACAGCGGTAAACCATTTGTAGCCTCCACAGTGCAAAGGGAAGCCATGACAACTGGTTCTCTTCAAAGTGTGGAAGATAACGATGATGCTGTACTATTTGATTTGTATCACTATTGAAACACCCCTAAACATTAGTGTTGAAAATGTCACCTTTTCATCAACCAAAATGATTCAACAATACAGGTATAAACACCACGTTTTCATACATTCATTCTTACCTTGGGCAAGACAAGACTCGAATTCACTTAAATATGATAGTATAGTCATGCTCATTTTACTGATGCACTTAACAATATATTTTCTTAAACCCCTTTTTGAGTGTTGGTTTTATTTTTTCCGAATTTCACCAATGTACCTCCTGCTACAACCCTCACTTGAACTAAACTAAATAAATAAATACAACACTAGAGTGCCAATATTACATATTGGGTCATAACTTCATTTAATAGAATTTCTTAAAAAGCACCCAATAGCACCACTGCCATTAAACCAGAGCACCAAAACGTTACACATGGTTGGAATCGGGAGTGGTTCAGCCTGTGAATCCTCATATGTAGATGATACACTTCTGGAATTAATAATGCGCACCGTCTGTCAAAACTTCCTTATCAAAAGGATGCCACATCTGGCGCTATAATAATGTTCTCAAAACACTCTATTCCAAGCTTAAATATTTTAGAGTTGTAGATTGAAGTTGCCTGCCTGACAACTTCAAGTCTGTCGGAGAATTGGTTCGAGGATTTCTAGGTAGGAAACTCGAGGAAAGAAAAGGCACTACCTAGTAGGAAGGGGATTGGAGAAGCTTCTTTGTACTAACCTGCGGGTGAAAGACAAGTCACAACGGGCACAAAAGGGATGTTTCTCGAGTTCAGTCTAGGCCATTGTAGCTCAATGGAGCCAACAGGATCTAGCGAGGTCACTTGCAGGAATATTTGCATTCACTCATGCCATGCCGATTCATACCAAAAGAAGTCTCAAACCGGGAGTTCCAAAAAGGGTGGATATTTGGGAACAAAATCTGTGAGCGCATCGCTTGTGTCCTTAACTTTAATAAAGTCGGGCCATTCTAGTTAGTGCAAATGTGATTGCAGCGACTACAAATTCAAAGTAAACAACCAAAGAGAGCCAGAACCTGCCTCAAATATCAGCTGCCATTCCACTGTTTCCTCAACAGCACCTCGACCATCATCGATTGTAACCACCTCAACGAGTTGTTATGGCGACTTTGAGGCGAGCAGTGGAGGGCGTACCTTTCTCCTGGCAGGCCACCTCGCACATCTTGTCCGGAGATGGGTCTGTGTCGGCTGTCAAGAAGCACTCGTCCATGCCGTACTTCTCGCAGATGGAGCCACTGCACTCCCCGCTCCAGCACACCTGGGTGCCGTTGTTGCACTCCGTCTTGTTGCGCTTGTGCACCGGGTTGGGGCAGCTCGCCTGGACTCCAGTGCCAGTCGTGGTCAAGGCAAACACCCCTTGGGCGTGCGGAAGGAGGATTTCCCACCCCCCCTCCCTTTTTATGTAAATAACAACAATGGCAGTTTTAGTCTTCAGTCTACAACAACTCCTCTCGATGGCATGCCAAACAGTACGCAGGCCACAACCAAAAATCATTCATATTTAAAAAGATGGTAAACAGAACAACTAACGCTATGCTGACAAAAGCATGCGAAAAATTAATAGACTGGGGTTAACCAAAGAAATAATTACAGTAAACTTTCGTTAGTTCCACCTCTGTTAGTTAGACTTTTCGTTTAATTCGATCGTGTTCAAAAGTCCCGGTGAGCGCCCATACATTTCTGTGGGAGGAAAAGTTTGATAGTTCGAACTCGAGAAGACTCCGCATCGGATAATTCGAAGCGAATGCGCGCGGGCTCACGTTGTACGGCACCATGGCAGAAAAACCACCGACGTACGGGCAAAACACTGGCGCTTTGCTGCAATGCCGAACGTGCGCAAACATGCGCCTGCTCCTCTACGCCGTTGAGATGGACTGTAGCGAATGACACGAGCCAGCGCAACCAATGTGGCATGGAGTAGTGCGGAGAACATAGCACATGGTCGGGCGCGGGGACAGCGCACGCTCTCAAAGTGCTTTTCTGTAGCATCGTGTGCGGTCTATCTTGCACGCTGAACAGCGCAGGTTCTCTTTTCCTTTTTTTTTTGGTTGTAATTTTTTTTTTTTTTTAGTTGCCAACGATCTAGTTGCTTGGCGCCAAAGTCGGCTTGTAAAGCCTTGTCAGCGAACGCTCTTAAAGTGCTTTTCTGTAGCATCGTGTGCGGTCCATCTTGCATGCCGGAAAGCGCAAATTCTCATTTCCTTTTTTTTTAATTATTTTTTTTTGTTACCGAGGGTCTGGTGGCCCGGCACCAAAGTCGACTAGTAAAACTTGTTTTTTTTTTTTTGTTGTTTTTTTTTTTTTTTAGTGAGCAATTTTTTGGGAAGTGACGTTTAGTCACACTGCCCTCCGGAGCACGCTTTTGGTCACATGTTTCAAGCGCAGACGGCAGCAGACCATCCGTGAGTACTCTGGACAATAAAAGAAAGTTTATTTTAACTATTTTTCTGTCCTTTTTTCAATTCGATCATTCGGATAATTCAACTAAATTTCAAGGTCCTGTCGAGGTCGAATTAACGAAAGTTTACTGTAAAAAAAAATATATGAAGAGGCCCGCAAACTGAAAAGACAGGCTATGAAGTTCATTATATTTAGACTTCTTGGACAGAGGAGTAAATAACTTCAAGCTTCGTGCAAAAAAAAAAAAAAAAATTCCGTGACACGAAGTGTTAGAAAGAATGCTGAAGACCCATTTTCAAATCGCAGTTGCATAAAGTAACATAGTAAAAGGATATTTGCAGAATGATTGCTCCGTGCAGTCAGATTCCAGTTTGCATAGCTTGTTTACCTTCTCATAACCACACAACTTTGTGCAGCAAGGACCTTGACTTGGGCTAAAGGAAAATAAAGAAAAACATGAAAATCATCTCTATTTGTAGGTGGTCAAAAACCAGGGGCAAATTTGGAGCAATTCAAATATCACATAAGACTCTGCGACAGACATAAAGGACATTAAAAACATGATTGAATTTGAGTGACAGCAAGTATCTGTCTAGAGCATGGTTTACCTGCAGATAGCATGAGGCTTGCGAGTACAACCCTTCTTGCCTTCGCTGTTCTCCCTGGCATAGCAGCAGTTCTCCATGCACTCCTGCTCCTCGTAGCCACAGTCGCACTCTTCGTTGCCTTCGACTATCTTGTTCCCGCAGAATGGACCCTCATAGTCTGGAGAAGGAGGCAAGGCCACATCATGTCAATGAGGTTTCATGAATCTTCTTACCCACCACTTGTGTTCTATAGGCATAGCAGCTCCTGATTAAATAATCTTCAAAGCTCTGCATACCCTGAATCAGCTGAATCAAAACTGTACATAAATTTATTACAGCAATGAAATTCTTGTTTTACATGTTGTGTTGGTTTGGAACTATCGCGGTACAAGGCCTCGAGGCTCTCAATACAAGGCCTCGAGGCTTGCATGAACAAGTGGGATGAATGAATGAAACAATAAAAATCAACTAAAAGTCTGCAAATTATAGCTTCTTTGAGATTTTTGGGAGATGTTTATTTACACCCTCTAAGCTAACCAAGCAAAAAAAGCGTCGATTACAAAAGCTATTACTACACCTTTTCTAAACGGAACTACAATCTTAAAACCAATTTCTAGACGTGCCATTGCTTACAGGTGGTAAACTCTTGCAAAAACCTGATGACACAAATCATAAATTAAACAATGAGCACAGGCAATGCAAGATATTGTATGCAACATGAAGAAGGCCGCTGCAAGCCTACCCTGGAAGCAGTTCTCCTTCTGCTCGCCCCTGAAGATGGCGTGCAACACGTGCGAAATGTTGCGCACGCTGCAAGGAGAAAACTTCTGGTTGTTGGACTGGTGTCCCTGGGTGGCACTGGCATACATGATGAAGTTTCCAAAAGAGCCACCAGGAACACACTCGGGAGGGTAGTCGTGCTGCATTAGAGAAAAAATAGGACTTGCCTTTACGCTCAGCCCTATTTGTACATTGCCGTGCTAGGACAAGCTTCTTTCGCTCAATTCAGCATCGGCATTTCTTTTCATGCTGATATTAACCAAAATATTCTCACGCGTGTCGGCGAGCGAGCGCGTGCGTGGCAGAGTGTCTACCGTGCTTGACTTTCGTGCAGAGGCCCAGGGTTTGATTCCCGGGAATTACGCATCTTTTATTGATTTTGTCAGTTTAATGTACTGGTCAATTCCAAGAACCCTGTTGGTTGTTCGAGGTCCAAATGTTGTAGTCGCCGAACCTTCTACGCCAATTGTTCCAGAAGCCAACGCGTGTACATAAGGGGCTCCGTGTGGCGAGACGCGGTCAGTCTCGCCCCAGCGTTCGATTCTGCTGCTATGCCAACTTCTACACGCTGTTGTTATCTTCAGTTTCCTTTTAGAGCGCAGCTCTTAGGCGCCCGTTTCCGGCTTGAGCGGTGTCGGCGTAACCGCGTGGTGCATGATGAGTAAATTTCTCCGCTAAATAAAGCGGAAAAATTTCCCCGCTAAATCTAGCGTAATATTTTCCCCGCTAAATTTAGCGGAAAATTTTCCCCGCTGAATTTAACGAATAATTTTTTGCGCTAAACTTAGCGTAAAATTTCCCCGCTAAATCTAGCGTAAAATTTTCCCCGCTAAATCTAGCGTATTCCCCGCTAAATCTAGCGGAAAATTTACCCCGCTAAATCTAGCGGAAAATTTTCCCCGCTAATTCTAGCGGAAAATTTTCCCCGCTAAATCTAGCAAAAAACTTTCTTCACTAAATCGGAAAATTTTCCCCGTTAAATTTAGCGGAAAATTTTCCAGCAAAAAAAATTCCCCGCTAGATTTAGCGGAAAATTTTTCAAGCTGAATTTAGCAGAAAACTTTCTCCGCTAAATTTAGCGGAAAAAAATGAAAGCCCTTTACAACTCCCTGTAACGCCGAATTAGGGTGCAGCTCTTGAGGAGGAGGGGGGGAAGGTACTGAGGGTCGCATATTCACGGGGGGAGGGGGGGTCACGTGATTCCCCCCTTCCCCGAGGTCACCGAAGGTATCCGAGGTCCTCCCAAAGGAACCCGAGGTCCTCCCGAAGGAACCCGACGTTCTCCCGAGGTCTTCCCGAAGAAACCCGAGGTCCTCCGATGTCCTCCCGAAGGAACCCGAGGTTCTTCAGAGGTCCCCCCAAAGGAACCCGAGGTCCCTCGGGAGGACCTCGGATTCCTTTGGGAAAATTTACCCATAATGCACTGCGCGGTTACGCCGACGGCGCCGGCGCCGCCGCTCAAGCCGGAAACGGGCGCCTAAGAGCTGCGCTCTAAAAAATTCTCCGCTAGATCTAGCGGAAAAATTTCCCCGCCAAATTTAGCGGAATATTTTCCCCTAAATGGGAGGTGAGCAGGAGAGGAGGAAAGGCATAGCCCCCTCTCCACACTTTCCCTTCATCCTCCACAAGAGCAGCGCTCTAATTCGGCATTATACAGAGCTGTAAACGGCTTTCATTTTTGTTTTGGGCACAAGTTTGTCTCATTAAACATTTCAGTTTCCTTAGTTAATCTTCGTTTTGTCACCTTGTCATTTGTGACAATATAAAGAAATGCAGAACTAACAGTCACCCACCAGCTTGCCTTTCTGTGCAGACCCTCTCAAGCAATTCTTAACACAACTCACCTCTAAAGACTGCTTTACCACACTTGGCATTTTTTCAATTACTATTTTGAAAATTATGTGACATGCGCGTGGCAGACTAAGAACAGAAGCATGGCGACTCACCGGTGAGCCAAAGTTGTGGCCAATCTCATGGGCAAAGGTGATTTCGGAGACCTTCAGTGGTATCTTGGCATTGTGGTTTAGAAACGTGATGATCCCAGTGTTGAGACTGCGCTTGACATTTTCAGATTTGCCATTGATGTTTTCAGAGTAGGTCTTGTACTTCTCACAGATTCCTCCAGAGGCCCCTACACATGCAGCAATGACAAACAAAGGAAAAGGCTAAATGAGCAAGCAGTATTCCTTTAGGACATAAAAATAAAACGTCAAGAGGAAAGGAACAGTTGCTGTGCATATAAAGGAAAGCACCCGAGGAAAATAACTGCCATAAAATCCTCAATATGAGAAGACATTTTAGCGCCAATACTTCGAGGCATTCAATACCTTAAGAAAAACCTCCGAATCGACAATTCTCCTTTTCATCTTGGATCAGAGATACAAAACACCAGCAAGAGAATATTTTACGGCAAGTAGAAAAAGAGACGTTCCTCAATATGAGAAGACATTTTAGCGCCAATACTTCGAGGCATTCAATACCTTAAGAAAAACCTCCGAATCGACAATTCTCCTTTTCATCTTGGATCAGAGATACAAAAAACCTGTAAGAGAATCAAAGAATATTCCCAAACATCGACATATTTTTCGGTTGATTGACTTCTCTCCCATGTAAGTATGGTCACAACAATGACCATCCCGGCCTGAAGGTTACCACACCATGTTAGTGGTAGTGAAGGATAACACATTCCCTCAAGCTGTACAGAGTGCAAGGGCATACAGCGTTTGGGTCAGAATGAACATGCACAAGACTTAGCACGAAATTAAAGGGAGACCAACTTTAGAGACAAAGTATTCTCAACACTATTTACGCCACTCCTACTGTAGCTGAATGACAATATCTTAATATAATGTACCGTAGAATACCGCGCATCCACCCATTCCACATTAAGCGCCTATATCCAAATTTCTAAGATCTGAGAAAATATGCACACTACAATTATTTGTAAAATTGATGAATGGACAAGTGCCCATCCCCCAATTTTTTGCGATTATCTCCAAATTTTGAGTGGGCGCTTGCCCAATATTTTACGGCAAGTAGAAAAAGAGACGTTTGAGACTGCCTTGCCCCCTTCTGTACAAAACCTCTGGAGAAAACAGGCTCCGCCCCCACCCACCGTTGACAGAGGCCACCCATGCCAGACCCAAGGTGCCGTGCTGAAAGTCCCTGAATGTCCAGACGTAGGCCAAACAGAAGTCATCGTGGTTGGACAGTGAGTTGAGGTTGAGGAAGTTGGAGGCGTCCAGGTTTCCCGCACAAAACGGGTTGATGCGGCGATTTCTTTCCCCAGAGCAGGCAGTGCTGTCATTTATCTGTTAAAAAAAAACAACGTACGAACAAGATCAGGTGCTATGCTTGGTCACAGGAAAAAGATAACTATATTCGAACCCCGTTTCAACGAACGTCGCATCAACGAAATTTCCGGCTCTACGAAAATTTTTCGCTTCCCCGTCACCGGTCCATAGAAGTCAATGCATAAAAATTCTCACCACAGCGTACACTGTTTCTTGTGCTGTTCCACTTGAACAAAACTTTACAAAGAATTCGAAGTTTGGAAGTTTAGTTTTCCTTACAAAAAACAAACTTTCAAGCACTTTAGTGCATTTTGGCACAAAATACGTCTACCATAAAGTTTAAATCGCGTGCTGAACCACGAGAAACTGCCACTGGAACCCAAACGGAACGCTGACTGGGCGTGCAGGCCGCCATTACTCGATGGCGACGGCGATGAGGCTGGCCTTTCCAGCCTTCCTTCGCTGTTGCAACAATCTGGGTTAAGCCCTGGCTCTTGTCTTGACAATCCTCTGCTGCACTATCGAGAGCTGAAGCTCAGTAGTCTTTTTTGCTTTGGCGGTTGTCCTTTTCTCAGTACAGTACGCGGGCTTTTTGGACATGCCACCGCCAAGCAAAAGGCGGAAGTTTTTATCTTAGAAGATAGAGCTCGCACCCTGGCCAAAGTTGCAAATGGACAGAGGAAAGCTGTCATCACGGGAAAGTTCGGAATTTCTCCGAGTTCTTTGTCGACAATTCTAAAGTTGAAAGATGCAATTGAAAGCACCTAGGATATCGGCCAAGCGAAAGAAACTGACATCGTCGGTGCGCGAAGAGCTCGACAAGGTTACGTACACATGGTTTTTACACATTTTTGTACTCTACAAGTTCAGGTATGCCCCCTTTTTTTTTTTTTTGTGAATTTCACAAACTCAGTATTTTCGGTACAACTAGGTAATTTTTTCTCGTGCACCGTCAATTTCGTTGTAGCAAGGTTTGACTGTATAACCATAGTTTATGAAACTGTACGCAACAATGCTGAAGTTTATCTCTAACAATGAAGTGAGAACAAAAAGTGGGGGGATCGGTGGCCATGTGTTAGCGCACCGCAGCTCGGAACCTGTGGAGCGGAGCGAAGGCTCGCGCTGCAGAAAAGAGGGTTCAATCCCCACCCCTGCCCATTTCGACCTGAATGTGCATCGTACCGGTGTGGGGTCGTGTATCGCTACTGCATGGTGCACGTTTAAAGTGAAAGGCTCCCCTCCCCTCCTTTCACGTTTTCCAGCGAGGGAAGCGACGAATGGAAAGGGACTGAGAAAATTAGGCATGGTCCGCGCAGGCCGTTTAAATGAGGGGGTGGTTCATACTGCGAGCATGTCAATGAAAATAAGCCAGCCTCTACAACGAATATGTCACAATCAGTGCGCCAAAGCATTAGCGAAGGAACCTTCCAGGACAGGAAAAGGAGAGCCAAGTTTGTTTCGCGCACTCTGTGCTACATCTTTGCAGGGTGCTTCTTTGATTGGCACAATTTTAATCAATGTGAATTAATGTTTTTTCGAAATAACTACTGCCCCCTGAATGAAACCTGGATCAAAATGCGAGGGCCACAAGGAAGGAAGAGCGAAGAAGCTTCTTTGTACAAACTTCAGGGCAAAAGATAAGCTGCAGATAAGACACAATGTGTACAAAGGATACGGTGGAGCAACTCAATCACCCGCAGGCCACTGAATCTGGGAAGCAGGATCAAACTCCCTTTCTCGGGAGGCTGTGGCTTATCTAGCTCGAACACACAATCGTGTGTTTTCATACCACCAACTTCTGAACCAGAGTCTGCATGGGGTTGCACCATGCGCAGACTGTATTTTCCAAAATCATGAATATCTCCTCGATAAAACGAAATGAAGCACTAAAAAACAAAGAATGGGTTCCAATCGTATTTAGCAACGTTGCACCGCACCTCCAAAGGGAACATATAAAGAAATACCAGTGCACGGCACGCCGACTAAAAGCCTGCACTGACGCAAATGGCACTGTAAAACACGGACTCAAGGCTGCTTGTTAATCGTGTAGGGGTTGCTCTTCTGTGTCATAATCCCTTTTTTTTTTTTTCCAGTTGTAGTCTACGGCTTAGCAACTGTAGGCTTAGCGGAACATGGACAGGGCTCTGGGGTAGGGGACGAGGGGAGGAAGAAACAGGCAACAGTGGAAAGGGTAGGAGGGAGAAGAGGACATGAGGGAAAAGCGGAAAGCGCAAACTGGTCGTCAACCTTTAAAAAACCCCTGAAAAAAAAAAAAAAAAGCTCTTTTAAACAATCTGGTTTGGTCAAGCGCATCAAAAAATAAAAAAAAATTTTTTTTTGATGCGCGTGACATTGCACTAAAAAAAAAAAACATTTCTTTTAGTGCAATGTTGACAGCGTGAGATTTATTTTAAATTCTGCGCACAAAGCCCATGACGTCATGAAACGGTCATTCGGTCTTTCCACCTCAATGAGATGGTCATACACGCTCTCCACCTCGACGTGATAGCCAAGCCGATCCACCTCTCCTCCAGATGCCCGACATGTTGAGGGAAAAAACAAGTGGAAAGGAAGTGACTACCAACTAAATCCCATCTTGCGCCGTCAATATTGCTCCAAAAATATTTTTCTTTTTTGCGTAAAACTATTTTTTTGACACGCCTGCCCCAACCAGGCTGTTTAAAAAACTCATTTTTTTTTCTTTTCTAGGGCCCTGAAGGGGGCTAATAAAAAAAAAGTTTTATTAGGCAACATAAATAGGACACGCGTATCAAAAAAACAATTTTAGCACGAAAAAAAACAAATTTTTTACAGCCAGATTACACAATTGCAAGACACGATTTAGTCGGTAGTCACCTCTTTTCCACTTGTTTCTCAACATTTCGGGCAAGTGGAGGAGAGGTGGATCACCTTGGCCATCATGTCGAGGTGGAGAGCGTGCATGACAATCTCATTGGGGTGGAAAGAGTGCGTGACCATTATGTTACATCATAGACTTTTTAATGCAGAATTTAAAATAAATCTCACGCTGTCAACATTGCTCTAAATTTGTTTTTTTGCATATAATTATTTTATGACGTGCCTGACCCAACCAGACTGCTTAAAAAATACATTTTTTCTTTTCAGTGGCCCTTTAAGGAATCCAGGCTAGCAGTTTGTACTGCACAGGTTAAATTTCTCACCTACAGCGTAAACGAGCGTTGCCACATCTCAAAGGCAGACCGACCTCACGCCGTATAATCATAAACATCAATTTATATTTATAGGAAGGTTAAAGGTACAGCATTCTCAGGAAGGTGCACAGCTGGTCGTGTGCCACAATGCATCTTGAGATGTGCTTTGTATCACTCTGTGACAAACCAGTGACTCACTAGCTTTTGTGTTGGAAAATAAGCTGTTGGCATGCCATCACAACACATTTTGATTTCAACGGATACTTTAATAGAAATCCAACATTTTAGCTCAAGCAACCATAACTTGAGAGTAACTTTAACGAGCCTAGTTTGAGCTAATGTTGTTATTGTTGAAAGAAAGAGGACTGGAGGAGTACGGCCACTCCTACAAATAAGGGCCCATCAGGTGATGGAAGGGGGAGGGCGAGACAGAAAGTGGAAGTGCAGGTAGTAGATGTGGTCTCTTGAATCTTACTTAAAGGGACAATGAAGGCAATTTCGGAGATCTTTTTGGCGATTGAACTGGGTTCGAGGCACGTCTCACGCCACGTTGCCCAAATTTCAGCCGAAACCGGCACTTGTGTGCCGCGCAAATCAATTAAACAGTCGCGGTAATAATCGTAACGGGATCGACTGGGGCGACGCCCCAAGAGTTGCGGGAGAAGCCAGGAGAAGCGGAGCTCACGTGACCGATGCGGGGCCAAGGAGTGCGACGTCACAAGAGACTCCTCAGCAATTGGTCGAAACGAGAAACATGCCCTCGGTCACGTTTTGGTTCGCGATTTTTAGAAATACTGTTTTAATTTCCGCTTGAATAACCATCAAAAGTATAAATCGGATTGGAAATGATTACTAAACCGTAAATAAAGCAGCATCATTGTTTTTTTCTTTGCTACGCTGGACGCGAAACCGGCAACGAGCAACTATGGGCCAACAAAATAAAATTTAAAAAAAACACGGTACTCGAAAGATTTTGCAAAATGGTAGCTGTAGATGGATGTTCTAACGGGCGACTGAAGACCAGTATTCGTTCGGGCAACGCTAGTTTTCACGTGTGGGTTGCTGTTCGTGTTCTTTGACGATGAAAAGAGTAAGACCGCGGAGGAACCGGATTCCGGAACGGCGGGATCGCCGTTCGTGAATCCGGTTCCCTTCGCTTTCCGCTTTCCCTTCAGCATCTCCCCCGCGTCCGTCCTTCCGCATGCGGGCCGCTCGTTGCCGGCTGGGCGGTCTCCGTCGGGTGATGGCAGAGGCCGCCACACACATACTCCCGTTCCGTTGGTGTTCGGTCACAGAACGGAAGCTCGAACTCGCTCACGAGAGCGGCATTCGTCCCTGTTGACAGAGTCGGCGCAACGACCGCGCCACCGCGCTGCTGTAACCCACCGCGGTAACCAGAGTCTCGATCTCCTAAATACTACCGATACCGACTATTCACACTTGACGTCACTCCCTACGTCACCTCCGTTTTCGGAAGCCCAGAAACGAGACTGGAGATGGTTCAGTTTCGGTTTCTTTACTTCTTTCGTAGGCACATAAATATGCGTCCGTTCACATGCCGTGCGAGAGTCCTCTTCCGCTGCGTGTGTTGCAGGTGAATAACTGGTCTGCGTACATGTTAATTCGGTCCGAACTAGCCAGTGTGCATGCTTCATAACCGTTTGCTTAATCGGATTGTTGCACATCCATTCAGCCCCTTTCTCACTACAGAAACACTGGAAATGTTTATATAAAAAGGATGAAGCAAGAAGAGATGAAGTGGGCAGTAAGGTGGATATATTGATATGCAATGAGTGCATCGGAACAACTTTGGAAATAGCACACCCAAATGTACCCAACACTAATTAAATGCATCCATAACCATTAAAAAATTGCCCAGGTTAGACATTCCGTCAAATACAAGGTCGCACGATGACGCTCTTTGTTCTTTTTCAACAAACAACAACGGATAACCTGGCTGGAGGACTTTAACACGTGCCAGGCAGCCGCAATTACTCGAGTGCACGCCGGTATGATACAGGTAACTTGGCCGTAATAGAGCAAGAGGAATGCAAACGGGCTCAGCCCCAAAGACGGGGTCCGGCCAAGCTGACCCTGATGCGCTGGACGGCAAACTTGATGTCTCGGATGCCCCCAAAGTTGGTGCTGCGGTAGATGCGGCTGGCGGCCTCCACGTGCTGGGCGATGAGGGAGGAGATCTCCTCGCGGGCCTTGATCTCGTCCTTGCCCGTGTTCGTAATGTGGTCCCAGAGGAAAGTGTCCGTCTGGACGAACAGGTTGCACACCCGCCGGTTGGGCAGGTAGTTTGCCGGGGAAGCCAGGGCCCCCGAGGGGCTGCGCAGGTACTTGGCGTGGGGGGCCTCTCCCGCGTGCGACTCTGCGCCGGACGCAGAGCGCGCTGTGCGTGGGCTGCGCGGCTTGGGTGTGTGCACCTGCGGGGGATGCCCAGAGGCACACTTTAATGCAACGTCCCAAAGACTAGAGATTGGAGATCCCTAGGGACTGGAGACAACAAATTGTCCCAAATGGAGATCAAAACAGCACTAAAGTGGAGATTTGGGCCAGTCTGTTCATTGCAAACGAAAAACAGCGCCAAAAAAACACAGGGGCACAGACGAAGGGAAACAGGAAAAGGCGCACTTTCAACTGAAGTTTATTAAAAATTGACAAGCTATTATAGCCACAAAAACCTTGTTAACCTTATCTACACAGCCCGCGTTTCAGATATTCAAACTCATCTGTAGATAAAGATAGGGACATGTCACTTATAAATTTCTTCTCCCTGGTCCCAATTTCAAATGCCTCATGCAATTCTTGCGACACTTTACCTTTGTATCTAGCCAAAATCTTAGTGTCATTGAAGGCCGGGGTGCACGAGCATCTGATACAATAAATTGCAAAACGCCCCGAGGGCGTCGTTCTTGTAGAGGCAGAGTCATGGGGATTTCGTAGACGATGCCAGCAGCACATTCAACATACTTATTTCTGTGTTTAGTAGTGCACAGATCTGAAGAAGGCTGTGGGGAATTTATCTGGCAATAAAGTTGCATTATCTTATTGGGCACTGAAAAAATGAAAGCGGTTTACAACTCCCTGTTACGCCAATTAGAGCGCAGCTCTTGAGGAGGAGGAGGGAAGGGTACTGGGGGGTCAGTTGACCTCGGAAGGGGGGGGGGGGGGGAGGTCACGTGACCTGGGAGATCACGTGACCTCAAGGGGGGGTCACGTGACGATGACGTCATCAGTGATGATGACGATGACGATTCAATTGCCGATGATGTCATTGGCATCCGCATCGTCATCATCACGGATGACGTCATCAGCGACGTCACTGATGACGTCATCGGCATCTGCATCGTCATCATCATCATCACTGATGACGTCATTGTCACGCGACCCCCCCTAGGTCCTTCCGAAGGAACCCGAGGTCCTTCCAAGGTCCTCCCGAAGAAACTCTAGGTCCTCCTGAGGTCCTCCCGAAGGAACCCGAGGTCCTTCGGAAGGACCTCAGGTTCCTTCGGGAAAATTTACCCATAATGCACCCCGCGGTTACGCCGACGGTGACGGCGATGGCGACGCCGCTCAAGCCGGAAACGGGCGCCTAAGAGCTGCGCTCTAAAAACTACTAGAAAAATTAAAGGTAATCAGAAATCAAGCAGCGATAGACCAACTTCGAGGCCTGTTGTCATTGCATATATGCACAAGGTCACGCACAATCTAAAAAAGGCAGCCCAGCGCTACAATGTACCAGTAGTTTTTTCAGTGCCCAATAAAATGGCATGACTTTGTTGCCAGATAAATTCCCCACAGCCGTCTTCAGATCTGTGCACTACTAAACACCGAAATAAGTATGGTAAATGTTCTGCTGGCGTTGTGTTAAAACCGCCATGACGTGCGGGATGACATACATGGGCCTGACGGGAAGGTGCGTGAATGATTGCACCCACGAGCACGATGCCCTCGGGACATCTTGCAATTCAATGTTAACAGATGCTCGTGCACCCCGGCCTTCAATAACACTAACATTTTGGCTAGATACAAAGATAAATTGTCGCGAGAATTACATGAGGCATTTGAAATTAGGACCAGGGAGAAGAAATGTGTGACACGTCCCTATCTTTATCCAGAGATCAGTCTGAATTTCTGAAATGCGGGCTGAGTAGACATGGTTAGCAAGATTTTTTGTGACTATATTAGCTTGTCAATTTTCAATAGACTTCAGTTGAGAATGCGCCCTGTTTTGTTTCCCCTCGACGGTCCCTGTGCTTTTTCGGCACCGTTTTTCGTTTGAACTGGGGATCAACTGGTTTGTACACTCCATCACGCTGCTTTTGGGATGCAATGGCAGCGGTACTTAAAGGGGTCATGAAACGATTTTCCTACTTCTTCCTCATTAGCTTTAATCCTCAACCCAGATGCGAATTGTGAAATCACGTCGTCGTGACATTCCTTCGGCACCGGTGCGATGACTCCTAGCTTCCACCGTGCTTTTTATGCACACCGTAGAACTTGTCATTCCCCAGTGACGATAAGTTCTGTCAGGGCACTCATTGGCCACGAACGCGAATCCAAATATTCGTCGACGGATTGATTGTTGACGAGCGCATATGTCCGAGTGACGCAGTTCTCGTGTCCAATGCGTGAGCTGGGCTCTGCTGACGTCAGTTTGGCGCCGGTGACGCGCTTTTGGAACCGCGGATGTATTATAGTGAAAAGGCGGAGAGGTTTCGAAGGCAAGAAGGTACAAAATAGCCCGCTATATTTTCAAATGTTCGTACCGAAAAGCTGGCTTTCGACTTTCTAGCCTCTTTCTTTTGGCCAACTAAACGATATGCGATTAGTAAAATCCCAATTTAAAATCATTCATCCCAACCAAAAATTTGTTTTATGGCCCCTTTAAGGGTGGAAACTGTGAGCAAAGAAAGCATGGAATTGCATGAGATAGTTTGGTCATTTTTAAGAAACTTGTCGTTTCGCAGAAAAATAAAAAGTCTCGCACAGCGTTGAAATATTACGAGTGGGTCTATTAATAAGTGCAGATAATCGCAATGAAGAAATGCTAGACTCTGCCGACGACACACAAGTGGCAAAGTGGGAAACCGTTTTACGGATTAGTTCATCGAGAATTTTTGGTAAGGTACTTCACTACGAAATTTGCCATTAATCTAGCAGCAACTTGAAACAACTGCCCAGCCCTTGGGCATCGTGGAGCTTCAGTCATCTAAATCGCCAGACATACCTTCCCAGACTGTGGAAACAGTCATGAAACTATCTATGAAGAACAAAAATAGTGCCTTTCAGCAAACTCAAAATACTAAAATATGCAAATCAGACATTCAGCGAGGCTGCTCGGAAAGAATGAGGAACAGAGCAGCGGGAAGCAGTTCAAGTTACGCACTTTCTGTTCAGGCACCGCACTGGTCGACACCTTCTCCATCCACCGCTTGACACCATCCACGACGCCACAGCCGGAATGGGTGTCGTTGTCGGAGCCCGGCAGTTCCACGTCGCTTGCAGCATACATGATCGAGTGGTATGGCTTGACGTCGTCGAAATACTTCTCCGACCTCTCCACGTAGAAGTGTCCCGTGGGAGTCTCGATGCGCCCCTCGAAGACGCCGCCGTGCAGGGCTCCAAACACATGGCTGGAGGGGTCACCTGCATCGACGAAGCGAGGGTGTGCACTGATGACGAAACTGCCACGGGTACCTTCTAGGCTGACCAAGGTAAGCAATTGTGCCCTTCTGGTAACCTGAGAGGCATTGAAAGCACAAAGACTGTGCCAGGGTATCAAATGTGAATGCACAGCTGAGCAAATGTCAAAGGTGCCCCGTTTAAGGTTGAAGCACGGTCCATTGTAAAATGAAGACAAAAAAAAAAAAGATGTCTGTGATATGTACATTGAATACCTCATCATGACTCATGTTGCCCGTTTACATAACAATGAATAGATTAAGCTTCTATTAGGCAGATTCTTTTATTGCCTACTAACAGTATCAATTTTACTTGGCCTGTTGTAATAAGTGGTAAAACAACTGACTCCTATCGTACTCAGAGCTTTGTTCCCTTAAGGCCAGTTCGCACATATGCAACCGAGTACGACCGAGAGAAACAAGACCTGTTTTTAAGCCTCTTACGACAACTTAGGACCAGCTCCACAGCAGAGCACCCAGTCCTAAAGGCCCGTTCACACTCTTGCGACCGAGTACGACTGAGAGAGACGAGTTCTCTTAAAACTTCTTAAATGTTTTTAGCATGAGGGAACACACTGGCATTGTGGCGCCATCTATGCGGTGACCCTGGAACTGCATTTCACAAGAGCGAAGGTTTTGCGAGATTTCCAAGGTCAAATGTGCGTAATACCCATAGAAAGGCTCGTTTATAACATTGATAAAAGTTTTTGAGCCAAAAAAGAAAGGATAATGCGCGAGAAATAAAAAAAATATGCCAAACCGCCGAGTTTACACTGCTTCCCAATAGATGGCGCCAGTGTGTTCTTTGGTTTAAGAAGTTTTAAGGAACCCAGGTTTAAGAGGTCGCAAGAGTGTGAACGGGCCTTTAGACGTCGCAAGAGGCTTAAAAACCGTTCTTGCCTCTCTATGTCATACTCGGTTACAAGTGTGTGAACGAGCCTTTACCTTATTTTATTAACTAAGTGAAACTGTGGATGTCTGTAGCATTTATTTCAGTGGAAGACCTCTTAATTAGAAAAACAATAATAATTTCTATCTTGCTGACGTGTTTTTTTTCACTGCCATGATCGCTACAGGCAACCTCAAATTTTGGTTAATGAATATTATGCATAGATGGACATTATCTTATAGAGAAATTTTAATTTTCATTTCTATCATTTGATCTAGGTAATGTCACATGCTCAAACTTTTGCATCTTATCACCACCGCTAGCGTTGCATCCTCAAAGAGTTTTAGCTTTCTGCAATGCATAGGATATTTACATGGGTCGAAAAATTGGGTTTTCTTTTCTCAATCCAACCCAGTTGTTTTAATTTTGATACTTTTGCAGCAACATTTTTGGAACTGTAATTAAATTGCATTTACAAAGTAATTTACCTGACTATGAGCTAGAGTATGTACAAGAAATCAAAATTTTACTTAAACAAATACACACCCCAATACTTTATCATACTCATTCTCATGATTTAGAGTGGGTACTTGCCTGGCATCTTATGATGATACTAAATAAGCCAGAAATACTCACCCAACAAATGTCCAGAGTAAATGTTTGATAAGTCCACATCCAGTGGCTTCCTGTCATGCGATTCTATCACAAGGTCATTGCTGAATACCGACGTGTCCCGTTTTATCCTGAGATGAAAATGCCTGCAGCAGGAGGAAAATCAAAAAGGAAGCCTCAAGATGTCAATTATTAAACATGAGGAAGATACAGAGAAAGGGGGGACGGACAACGAGAAGATGTCAGTTGCCCATTAAATCCTCCCAACATGGTTCTCAAATTACCTAAGCGCCTCAATTTCAGCTGGATCTTTTAGTATGAAAACAATGATTACTAAAGCCTCCACTATCATTTGAGCACATTGATACCAACTTTTAATGCACTGCCAGAACTTTAAGTCTTAAAATCCTTAGAAACATAAATGCACAAGGAAACTGTAAATTACTGAACCTCTACATATGGCCGGAGATTCATCCAAAAACATGTCATTGAAAACTCAGCTCACTCTTTTGTAACCTGAACCATCTTATAAGCAATCCCAGCCAAAGGGAGAAGAAAAAAAAAAGAAGTGTACTGGATAAAGTAATCTGATCCCATGTTGCATCTCCAGAGTCCGACATGCTGGAGCAGCTACCAAACAACCCAAAAGGCCAGCACTCTGAAACTAAATTAAAAAAAAAAAAAAAAAAAAACCGATGAAAAGAAAAAAAAAAGGCAAATGATGAGGCAAGACTACTTTTGGCAACATACACAGAGCACATCTAGCAAGGTCGGCCTATTCACGGAAAATCCATCAGTGCTGTCCAATCAATTAACTAATTCATATACAGAAATATATCCAGAAGTTAAAGGAGAACTAGAAGCTTTAGTAACATGTAATGATATTGAACACCAAAGAATTCACTTTATAAAGAAAAAAAAATGCAGAGGCATTTGCAATACACCCTTCTCCCCCTTTCTTTTAAACAAATAAAGCAAAAACTGAAAGAAGATTTCTAGGTATGTCTAATAAAAACTGAAGCTAAAACAACAATCAGCACGGTGAACAGCACTAAAAGAGGTTGGAGAAAAACAAATTCCAAATGAGCGGAACAGATAATTATGCTAATAAATGGTGACTGCCTTTCACAATTAAACAAGCAGTTTTACAACATTAATGGGCCTTATCCAGGGTGTTAAACAAACATTATAAATATATATATATATATATACATATACTAATTATGTCAGTGCTAAAAAAAACTATTTCAAGGAGAACATAGCAGTCAGGATCATGAAACAGCTAATAAATACTAAATATTTAACATTTGTGCAAGTAAAAATGCAGGTACCACTTCAAATAGAGGAATGCTTGCTTTACCATTTCCCAAACTCCTACCCCTCAAATCTGAACACACATCCAAGGTTTCAGTCTCGTCAAAACACAATGGCACATTTTTTTTTTCTATTGAATTTGTGCATTTTAAATATTTCTACTAGTGACTTATTTAATGCTTTTCAATGATGCCTCGCAAGTTTAATTTTTTTTTAACTTTACTAAGTAAAAATTTAATCGTTAAAAAATAATTATCCCATGTGCTATTCACCTCCCTAAATATGCACCATGAGTGACTCATAGGGCATCAACCTTTTTTTCTGTGTAATGCAGTTGCTGCAAAAAAAGAAAAAAAAAACTATGTTTTGTGTAGCACTCTGTGTAATAATCTGCCACATATGCAATGAGTCTTTGACCTTCATATCTAAGCGAGTCTGCCTTCATATCTTTGTCTGTCTATAGGGGCAATCACCCTGAAAATTTCCACATGCTCATAAATGCAATGATAAGCTGGAAGCATAAAGATGAGGCCCTTAAATACAAAAAAAAATTCAGCAAATTTTAACATATTTTATAAAACATAAAATTCAGAGACACTTAAGATTTCCCTGAATAGAAATAGCACATTCTAAACCGTTTTTTAAGACTTGCAAACTTATTGTCGAGCCATACATATATTTCTGGCTCAGCTGCCTAAGCCTGCACGGCAAAAGCCACTAGTCTCTTTGCAAAAGTTATCCCCATCTATTGCAAACTCGTCTTAGGCTGACCATCTATGGGAGCTTCTCAACACAGGCATCACTCCTCATATCAAGCTGGTAACATAGCAGCGAAGCAGAGATAAATTTAGCTTTCGAGATAAAAACGCTGAAAGAGCGACACAAAGACCAGTAGGTGAACAAAGGCAAGCAGGAAGCGGGAGGTCACCTGTTGTGTGAGTGGAATTTGAGGTGAAGAGCAGCGTCATGATCAAATGGCGACCGCTTGATGCGGACGTGACGTTCGTGGACGTCATTGTGATTGTACATCAAAGGTTCATAGTGCCTTACGAACCTATTAAGTCTGCGTGCTGCAAAGATAAACAAGAGGACACAAATCTGGCTGTGAAGAACAATGCTAGCTCTCTAAAAAGAAACATTTTACGTTTCGCAACTGAAAGTCCACAAAACGTCTTGGACATGCTCCAAGGAACTTCCTCATGCCTAAAGCTATTGTGTCAGAAAAAAAAACAACAAATGAGCCGGGATGTTTTTTTTTTTCAAAAATGAGCCGGAATTATTATTTTTGTTTTTTTTCTTTTCAAGATAGGTTTTGTCAGGTGCAATGGTCTGAATAAACAAATGACCTTGCGAGTTGAATAGCCGAGACTGGGGAAAGACAGGTGCATAATTATTTTCCTAAAAACTTCACGGTCACTGGTAGAAATCTCCGGTAAGATTGCTAGTATCAATGTAATGAACAATCTCATTGCTGATCATTTGAAAACCAGTCCTTGGCAGCACTTCAAACCTACAAAGGCAACATGTGTGGGTGTGGATGAGAACTTTCAGTGGACGAGTCCCGTGGCATAGAAACAGCAGGCTATCAATCTCTGCTCATACAAAGAAATGCCTCCCATTCGACATTCAGGCCTCCCACTTTGTTGGCTTAAAAACAACTGAAACAAACTAAATGAAACAGGTTTTGCAACCTGTTTAAAATATATAAAAAAGAATGCAATGGCCAGGTGGAGCTTTCAGTGATTGTTTTCAGCATATACAACTGCTTTATGGGCATTAGGGTAAATGTTTATAAAGCTAAAAGCTATACGAGTTAACTCTAAAATGCTTCTAGGTCCAGAAGTTTCAAATCATCCATCTTCTAAAGCATGTCATTATTGACTTTGCATTTACTGTTCACAAAATATATTTGGCTGAATCAAGGAACTAACCAGTCAAACACTGAAGTACAGTTCAAAAATTACCAAACGTCATAACCATGCAACATCCCTGACCCCATCTGTCCAACTAAACAAATTACACTTTACGTTGCGAATGGGTCAAGAACTTCCGGCTCTATAAACATACACAAAACATTTGTGTGTATGTTGTCCCAACCAATATATGGGAAGGAAATTAAAACAATGCAGAGCATTTGGGTTCTTATGAGTTTGTAGGCACCGGTCTAACAAGGCCTTCAGTATGGGCACAGTTTGGAAGTGCGTTTTGCCACACCGGCCCACACAAATCTGCACAATACACGCTTCCACTCAGATAGCGCATTGCCCATCACATTTGGCACAGGCCCAAACAGGAACAGGTACCTGATTTTCATACATTCACCATTATCTGAACACAAAGCTGGGGGCAGAGATACAGGCGTGGGAGAGGAAAAAAAAATTAAATAAAATAAAAGCCGATAGCAAGCGAAGCGTTACTGGACACGACTGAAATAAGCTGACAATAACGGCAGCGCCACACAAACAACTGTTCACCTGAACGAAAATAAAAAAAAAAGAAGTAGCTAGGTTCCTGCAGGAAGTCACTTTCATTGTGAGAGGTGCAATCGGAAAAGGGCAATATGAAATACCGGGTAGGCCACCCCGTCTACGCGCTCGGAGAGGAAGCGGGCCTCTCACGTGCCAGCAGGCGACACTCCCACGCGCTGCTCGCCAGAACTCGCGACCGCTTGCTTTTCAGGAATTAAACAGCCTCGACGGTCGCCCATTAACAACGCCCCAAGTTCGAGGAAGAGAAACTGAGACGCGTGTTTATCGTGTGCTAGAGGTTGGTACGCGGTGACCGCTCGCAGCGGCACACATACACACAAGTGGTTATAAATAGAGGACCCGATGAGGCCGCATGCAGCGTCTCAGCGTGCAGGCTTTATTAGCGAGGCGTTCACCCGCGCTCGACAACGGGTTTAGAGAACATAAAAAAGTGTGTTGACAAGACGTCGGGCCAGGCTGACAGCTTCCCTGCTTGCACAAGCGGTGCACCTAGAATTTCTTTTTTTTTTTTTCTGTTGTGTTTTTGTTGCTTGGATCCGGACATCGGATATGTCGCCAGCAGCGTGATTGCAGTAGGTACGGAAGCGAAGGAGAGGGGGACAATAATAATGCGCGTGTCGGGCCAGGTTTTTAGCTCGCGTGTAGTTGGGACGACGAAAAAAGAGAAACTTTGTGACTCACGCGTCCCGTTGGTCGGCGCTTGCGAGAAAATTACACCGAGACGCCCGCGTTTGATGAACTTTGGACCACCGCGCGACGCGTTGTTCCCTTTCTACAGATATTATCGACGACTGCGAAGAAACTCGCAGGTGTGCACGAAACCAAGGGAGCTCCTTTCGAGCTAAGAAATGATCCCCCCCTCTGATTAAAGGCAACATGCTGAGCATAACAATGCCCAGTCCGCATACGATTTCAGGGGAGTTTCCGGCGCTCGGTGACGAACAATAGCGCTCTTTGTAAACACGAGAGGAGAAAGACGCGCGTCGAGGTTGTTGGACTATGGGTTAAAGGTGTTGGGAGGTGATCTGAATTGATCAGATTGGGTTTTAGTCGGTTGAAAATGACGCCCATGCCCGCCGTTTAACCTTTAAAAATGGCTAAAGCTCCGTGGAGCAGTCAACGCGAATGACGATGTATTTGTCGGGAAGGCGAAGAATTCGCGAAAGGTCGCGTGGACTATCTATATCGGGGTCATCTCCGCGTACACAACTGTTTTTTTGACAAAGTGAATAGCTTCACAGAAGCGCACGGTAACACGAAATCATAACCCTTATTTCAGCTACAGCAGAAAGAAATTTCCAAAATTTCACTTACCGCAATCAGATGGTGTTACATAAAGTACTATAATAAAAAATAGCAGTTCAGAACGCATCCTACTGTCATCTGGTTTTGTATGTTTGAGTCCGTTCCCGACGACAGAGGAAGACGGTGTCAAAACACAGCCAGCACACGCACAATCCCCACACAAAAGTGCACTTTTTTGACAAGATTTTTCCCAAGCGGGCGCAAACGCGCATGCGTCAACAGGACAAAATGTGTAATGAGTGCGAGAGTTTACGAAAAAAATACCCTCGAACCCCGCCGCTTGGGAACAAGCGTCTTGGAAAATGGCGATCGAAATTGAGTCGGCAGAGTACGTACACAAAAAGTTTTGTTGTTTTTAGCGGGTGCGCTCATGGTTTTAGGAGGTTCTGCCGGTTTATCGTTCGATTACAGATTCCGGGATCAATTTATGCCCATTTTGTTGGATTACTTCTATTTATTGAACAATTAGAGTTAACCTACCTTGCGCTCCGAATGTTACTCAGTCGACGGCGTTTTACCGTCTCATAAAATTTCTTAAGTAAACAGGGGTGCAACAGTTACTAAAAATCATGGGCCTTCTTAGCGTGACGCTTTAAACTGAGTAAATTAAGCGTATATCAATTAATTTACCCGTTTATTCCGAAACAGTCCTCCGCCTGCGAAGACTCGTGTTTTCTTGCGAATTGAAACGCCTGCTGATGTTTACTCTTTATTTTGTGCTATAGTGTCGTTCGTCTGATACAACAGTACCTAAAAGAAAGCAACCTGAGCCGCACACTCCAAGTTCTGCAGGTAAGGAGGAGCTCCAGTACAGAAATTTCGTAACTCTGGAGCCCTACAACCCAATCTCTATCTTTTTTCCAGGAAGAAACGTCGATTTCTTTGAACACCGTCGACAGCGTGGACAGCTTTGTGCAAGACATTCACAGCGGTCACTGGGATACAGTCCTCAAAGTTGTCCAGTCGCTGAAACTTCCAGACAAGAAATTGATCGACCTCTATGAACAGGTATCCTATTTTTAGTCCAAGTGATGCTAGAAAAACTGTGTTCATTCGTTTTTCTGGGTGAGTAGGTGACAGGCCGTGGTACTACATATTTAATACATGGTACGTAGTATTGCCATAATTGAAGTTTATTTGTGTACAGTCATTTCATTTTGCTATAATATGTATTGTTTTTTGCTTTTAATGGTGGTCTCTTTAGGAAACGCTTTAAAGTGACCACTGAGGTGCAAGTTATCTCAATGCTGTGATACCTTTGTGAATCACATTGCATGAAATGAAGTAGAACTGGTTTTACCCATTATGTTTGAAGATAGAAGGTTTTAATGAAACCAGATTTTTTTGTGCATGTTTCAGATTGAAATGCACACCACATGATAGGTTCAAAATCAGAAGCTGTATTATCTGGCAAAGGTGCCAAAAAAGCCACAGCCAGTAAAACAGTATTGAGCAAATATAAACAGCGCAATGTGTTGCATTCCCATTATGATAGCTAGAGGCTCAAAAATGTTTCTTCTGAAAACATTGAAGGGCGAATTTGCTCATGGAGGGGCCTAAACGATACAGATCACTCGAACATGACCTTGGCGCATCTGTCTATTTCACTCAAACGAAGTATTGACAAGCGCCCCATTTTACCACTTGAGTTTGTGCCCCGGATGAGTGTACCCCCACCATGCTACCAGTAGTTTCAGTGGTCAGTTGCAGTGGAAAAAGCAGGCGATAGGCTTTCTGTTATGCTTTGTACATAACTGAATGGTGCCCTGGTTGTACAAACACTTGTAAAGAGTGAGCGTTTTGAACAAGGGCTCCTCTAAGCTCTAATGATACTTATAAGCATTCCCTTATTGCCATTATTGACATTAAGGTAAACAGAGTATAGGCATATATTTGGTATTTTTACAGAAGGTCCCTCTACTGCTGAGGCATGAGTTGCTTCCTTTTTTTGAGACTCAGTTCTGTCATGTGAACATTCATACAATTAATTTGTCCTTTAAGCTCAGAATAATGTTCTTGTATGTCCTGTCTCAGTCACCTTCGAGCGTGATTGTTTTGTTTCTGCTTGGGAAAAAGTCAGTTGTTATCCCCACAAACTGTAACTGGGCTGGCAGTCTGCTACTGAAAATGTCCAAAGTCTGTCTGGGCTTCATCCCAGACAGAGGTGAAAGAGAGAATAGAACTGCAGTTTAGGGTGACCATACTTCTCAATGTAGAAAACGGGACATCCCAGCGGGCCCCGGGGGGGGGGGGGGGGGGGGGGGGTGTTTGTTAAAAGATTGAGATTGGGAGAAAAAATTTAATGAAATAATTGCCCTCATTTCAAAACGTTACCATATTGCACTAAGCCCTAGGGTCTAGGGAACAGTCACACTGCCTCGCGTCCTTCGTTGGTGTGGGCGTATTTTGCCAACGGCTGAAGCTTCCTAAGTAAGCAGAACTTTATCCCGCAAGACTCGGTTGTAAAAGTCTGCGGAATTATATAGAAAAAATAAACTGAAGAATCATGTCTCGAAAACGGGACATGATTCTTTATTGGGACAAAAAGACGGGACGGCAAAAGTGAACCTCAAAAACGGGACTGTCCCGGCCAAAACGGGATGTCTGGTCACCCTACTGCAGTTGCATGGCTGCTGCACCGTGCAAGGCTAAAAATCGAAATGAGAAAAGTGAAGATCAAAAATATGGTTTTGTTGTTAGAGTTTCTACTCTAGCAAAACTTGTGCAGTGGTGACATTTGCAGACACTCGGTGAATTTTACCCCCCAAAGATCCAAATTTGCCAAAATATGGTTTATTTCCTCTTGAAAAAAGCTATAACTAAACACTTTATATTCCAATTTGTAAAATAGAGCATGAAAATATCATGCTGTCTGTGTAGAACCCAATTTCTCAATGTTTCCAAATTGGCTTTAAATCTATGAAAAAGAAAGAATAGTCATTGCATTTTCAGCATACTAAATTCCAAGAATCACCAAGGGGGGTAACAGTTTCAAGAGGATTATATTGCACATGTGTAAAACATGCTTTTATTCACAGTGTATTTCGCCTCTTAGAGGTAGAGCTAATTCACCTTCATCGTTGCTTTGCAAAGTAAGAGCACAAACTCAAATGCTTCACGAGCTGCGCACGGTTGTTTTCAGGTGGTGCTGGAGCTCATCGAGCTGCGAGAGCTGGGTGCAGCTCGATCCCTGCTAAGACAGACAGACCCCATGATCAAGCTGAAACAGGAGGAGCCCGAGAGATACATCCATCTGGAGAACCTGCTGGCTCGCTCATACTTCGACCCCCAAGAGGTGCTGCAGTATTTATCACGTGTCTTCTTTCCCCCAATCGGCCACCCCACCTAACTATGTGCACAGATGACAGTTCCAAACCATCGTGACCAGAAACTTAAATGTAATCTGAATGGGACAAGTATCACCAGTGTCTTTAGAGTGGAGACTAGAGCCGTGGGCGGGCTGTTGGGCTTTGAAAGATGGGTTCTCCAACTGGGTTCCGGGAAACCGGGTTTATTTTGGGGGCACTTTAAGGGTTCTCCGAGCTCCCAAAGTTTCTTCACCCCTGGGTAAAGTGTTTCTTTTATTATTTTAACCACAATTTTTGCGCATCTGAGCCACCCATTAATGCATGCCTATAAGCCGAACACCTCCTAGTATCCATATTATTGTTTGCAAGGTTCATAGGCATTTCCACCACTTTACTGCAGCAATGCTGAGACCAGGATAGGTACAGATGGGCGTTCTTCGAGTCTGAAAAAGTCGGGTACACCCACTTCAAACTGTCGCTTCCAACGGCTCTATAATTTTATTCCAGTTTTTCTTTTCACTAGTGTCACAGCGGTACCGCATGCATTCACTGGGTGGCACTGGTGCTGAAGGCCGAGGCAAGCCAGTTCGATGAAGTGCCAGACTCCGAGTCGAGGCCGAACTCGGTCTTCGAATGTTGTCTTTTTCCACACTTATTGCACTAGGCCGATCTCACTGGCCAGTTTGGCTACGCCGTTGCCGCTGCAACGAATCGAGGGAACTCCAGCCTCTCTGCACAAGTGTCAACTCCGCCAGTGCTCAGAGCACGAGATGTGCCATTCACCTCTCGCAGACTAAAGTTACAACAGCGACGTTCGTACTTCGAATGCTTGGCAAGACCGGTCTATTGGCGACGAGTGAAAACGCGTTTTCTATCTTTGTGCGTCTCCGTCCCTGCGCATCTCGTCCCTGTTTTGCACTTGCTCGGTCGCGTCGCCGGACGTCGTTTCGAGCCACCCCTTGAGACGGCTGGTGTGCCTTCGCGTCGCAGGCATACCCAGGTGGCAGCAGCAAGGAGCGGCGCCGCACGGCCATTGCCCAAGCCCTGTCCGGGGAGGTGAGCGTGGTACCCCCCTCGCGCCTGCTGGCCCTGCTGGGCCAGGCCCTTAAGTGGCAGCAGCACCAGGGGCTGCTGCCCCCCGGCAGCACCCTGGACCTGTTCCGGGGCAGGGCCGCCCTCAGGGAGCAGGAGGACGAGCGCTTCCCCACACAGCTCGCTCGCATCATCAAGCTGGGGCTCAAGGCCCACATCGAGTGCGCCCGCTTCTCCCCCGACGGCCAGTTCCTCGTCACAGGCTCCGTGGACGGCTTCCTCGAAGTCTGGAACTTTACCACGGGCAAGATACGCAGGGACCTCAAGTACCAGAGCCAGGTGAAGCTTGCATTCTTCCCCCTCGTTCCCCAAACTTGCAGGCTCGCTTCGACCTTGAGTTCTCTTGCGTTGCGATGAAACCTCCATCGTAAACTTCCTAATTAAGGTTATATGCAAGCTTAATTTATTTTGATGGAGGGCGGCAGAGTGGGACTATGGCCTTATTTGTGGCATCGTGCTTCTTAGGTCCGCTACGCCATGCCATTGATTAAGAGAAGGACTCCATCTAAGATGACTGTAGCTTCATTGCTGCAGTTAGTTTCAGCATCCTTTTTTTGCTTGCTATGTTGAATATCAAAGGGTATTGGTGCCTAGGCTGCTGTTTTCTAGAGTTTGATCAGGAACAATGCACCATTTTGGTCCCAGGTACAGTCGGCTCTCGTTAATTCAAAATCTCTTAATTCAAACTTTCGGATAATTCAAACTAACGTGCAGGTCCCATCCTATGCGTCTCTATGGGAAGAAAGTCCTGATAATTCAAACTTTGCTTTATTCAAACAAATTTTCGGCCCCCCTCGAGCTTGAATTAATGAGAGTCGACTGTATACAATTTGAATATTCCTTCTAGGAGGTTTGTAGCTCTTCTGCACTTCTGACTAGGGTTTCGTGTTCTTAGTATTGTGGGAACCATTGGGTTCCCTCTATCCCTATCCAGGCCTAGCTTCAAGCAGGCCGTGGGAGTCGTCGTCACCAATGGCGTCGGCCTCCCGGATACAAGGAACTACGAGGCCGAATTCCCCGAAGGGGCCGGCTCTCCCTTGCCCATTTGGGTGAACGCGCCTGCGGCACACCCTTGAGAGCTATAATGGACGCGACTGCTAGTGGCCTCCCCGGGCGCGTCCATTCTCCGAGGCTACATAAGCTGGCCCCGAAGGTGGGCCAGGGGCTCTCGTCGGCGGAGGCCCTGGCTCTACGGAGCTTGGTTTTTCTTTGTGGGCCTCCGACTTCCCGTGATTCTGTCTAATGCGGCAGCGCGGGAAACCGACCGGGTGATACTGGCAATTGAGCCAGCGCCCAGACTTTTAATTGTCTAATAGCGAAGCGTGCTGACATTGCAGTCAATAAACACGTCTTTATGCGGACCCAAGGAACTCTTTGTGTTTCTAAGTGGTAACCCCCCAAAAGGGCTAATCCCACATCTGGCGCCCCACGTTGGGTGCCAGATGTGGGATTAGCCCTTTTGGGGGATTACCACTTAGAAACACAAAGAGTTCCTTGGGTCCGCATAAAGACGTGTTTATTGACTGCAATGTCAGCACGCTTCGCTCTTAGACAATGAAAAGTCTGGGCACTGGCTCAATTGCCAGTATCACCCGGTCGGTTTCCCGCGCTGACGCATTAGACAGAATCACGGGAAGTCGGAGGCCCACAAAGAAAAACCAAGCTCCGTAGAGCCAGGGCCTCCGCCGACGAGAGCCCCTGGCCCACCTTCGGGGCCAGCTTATGTAGCCTCGGAGAATGGACGCGCCCGGGGAGGCCACTAGCAGTCGCGTCCATTATAGCTCTCAAGGGTGTGCCGAAGGCGCGTTCACCCAAATGGGCAAGGGAGAGCCGGCCCCTTCAGGGAATTCGGCCTCGTGGTTCCTTGTATCCGGGAGGCCGACGCCATTGGTGACGACGACTCCCACGGCCTGCTTGAAGCTAGGCCTGGATAGGGATAGAGGGAACCCAATGGTTCCCACAGTATATACCGATAAACCTTGTGAATTAAGCTCCAGGCTGTTTTTGTAAAAATCGAGAAGAACCAATCTTTATCTACAGACCGTGGGCGGCGGGGGTGCGCATGCATTGTAGACAGTTCCATATTGCTCTGGTGGAAGCGAAACTTGATAACGCAGTCATACTGAATCGGTGTGCTCTTACGAAGCACTATCCCTTTTGTCAGGGTGACATGGAATTGCCCAAGTGCAAGTAACGCCCCCACCATCCGCCACCTCGGCCGCTCGCTATAAGTGCGCCTTTCACATTGGTGGAGACTACTTCAGTAGAAGTCTATTTCAGTCATTGAAAGAAGTAATGCGTATTCTGTGTGGTCCTTTGTAGAACTCTGTGCAATGTTGAACATAGGAATGTGGAGTAGTGCCGACTCACTTTTTCTTCTTCGTGAATGTGGTGTTGCACAGTGTTGGATGATTTTACCCGTCACAGACAGCACTTTCCTACTGGGAACACCACAAGCAGACACGCATGTTATAATAGCACAAGGGGGGCTGCAGCAGGATTTGCCTGTCTAAGGGCAAAGTGAATGTTGTAACTTACTCGTGTTTGTAAGCAATGGTGGTACAGTTACAGGCCATGTTTCAAACCTTGAATGTTTTTACTCTGTTTATTAAAGAAAGTGGTTTTGGCAAAGTCTGTCATGGCATTTCGTGGGTACAGCGACACCAGTGCTAAACAGTCGCTAAACAGTTTAATTTTCCGACATTGTACTTTTTGGTTCCTTGTTCTTCCATATTGTTGCAGACAAATAAATACACTATCATCCTGCCTTCAATAAAGTGCAGAAAATGCTAAAGCTTTTTATTTCACAGCTAATGCCAGCAGGTGTATGAAAAGTATCAACATATTAAAGAAAGGGAAAAAAGAAATTTATTTGTACCTTTGAACTGTAACCTGCCTTTTGCAATAGTTTAAAATGCACAGAGAACTGACAGCCGGCACAACATTACAAATCTGCTGAGGGGGCTATATTTCTTGTTCAAAATTCATTATTGCAGCTACCTCCCACTTGAACATACTATATCACAATCACAAATCATATATTCGGGCTTAACAACGCAGTTCAGCCGTGCCTGCTGTACAGAGAAATGCGATCAGTGTACCAACTTCTTTAGTGAAAACAATCATTTATATGGAGGCGCGACTTATAGACCGGGAAATATGATGGTTGTGTGGTGCATGTGTCGACAGCTTACATTACAACCCTCCCGTGCTTGCTGTCAGACCCTAGCAAAGTATGTTCATCTTATAGCACAGCAGAGTGATATATGCAACCTGCTTTCTTTCCCAGGACAACTTCATGATGATGGATGACGCAGTCCTCTGCATCTGCTTCAGCAGGGATTCCGAAATGCTGGCCTCGGGGAGTCAGGATGGCAAAATAAAGGCAAGTCTCACCTCTGTTTCCAGGTGCGACAGTATATCTTCTTTAAGACTGACTTTGTGATAGGTTCTTCACTTTAAAATAAGTCCAGAAAAAAGCTTTTCTTTTTGAACCTTTCGGATTCTTCTTTTTTGTTGTCCATGGTAAGCACTTCCATGTAGGCAGCAAACTTTGCTTTCCCTATAAGACTAAGCTCTGATTGTATAATTTGTTATGAATTTAGTTGAGGAGAAATAATAGATTGTTTTTCAGATTCTGTATTTAATTGACTAGTACCGGGTTTAATTTTGTTAAACTTGCATATGCTAGTGTGCAGTAGAAGTAATTTGTTTTATAAATGCCTAGTCAGCGGGAAATGAGTCTGCCTTAAGGGGTGCCTGATGTCTCTGCCGTAGGTGAGAAAGTTAGCCAGTACAGTGCGACCGCTAGCTAGTGGTCCTTAATTAATGTGCCTTATGGAGTAGCGGTCAGCGATCGCATGCCGGTACAATCTCATCCAAATCAAAATAGCCAGGGCTTGAGACTGAACCCAGGACCTCTTGGTTCTACAGCGTGACCTTTCTCTCCATTTGTTCCAAGCTGCAGTGTGCCTACTGTGCAAAGTTTTGCTTTTTTTTTTTAGAGCATAGCTTTTAGGCGTTTGTTTCCGGGTTGAGCGGCGGCGCCGTCGGCATGATTGCGCATTGCATTATGAAACATTCTCCGTAATGATGTCACATGTGAGATGTGACATCACGAGGGTAAAATTTTCCCGCTATGTTTGGCGGAAATTTTTTACGCTAAGTTTAGCAAGAAATCTTTTCCGCTAAGTTTAGCGGGGAAATTTTCTTTCTAGATTTAGCGGTAAAATTTTTCTGCAAAATTCCTTGCCAAATATAGCGGGGAAATTTTACTCTCGTGCCTTCATGTGTGATGTCACGAAAGTAAAATGTTCCCACTAAATTTGGCAAGAAATGTTTACACTAAATTTAGCGAGAAATTTTTTCTCTAAATTTAGTGGGAAAATTTTACCTCGTGACATCACAGGTGACGTAAGTGAAGTCTAGCAGAAAAATATTTCCCCTACATTTAGCGGAAAAAATGATCTCACTAATTATTGTGAGAAAATTTCTGACCAAATTTAGCAAGAAATTTCGTGAAAACTTCTTGCTAAATAGGTGGGGAGCAGGAGGGGAGGAGGGCAGGGTATGGAGGGGGAGGAGGGGCATGGCCTCTCCTCCTCCTCCTCAAGAGCTGCACTCTAATTCGACATTACAGAAAATAGTAAACGTCTCGTTTTTTATTTACAGAAAATCCCACATTGCCGTGAGGCATTATTGCATAGAATAAATTACATAATTTTTTTTTTAGGAGCAGAAGTAATACAAAAGTGGACTATATATTTATGAAGATGGAATATAATATATATAAATATTTCAGTACTACAGATGTTCTGCAGTAGCATTAATTAAACCTATTTTGTATCTGTTTTTGTGTATTGCAATATAATTCTCAAATACTATTTGTGTGGCTGCATTGAAATACATGTTCAGATGTACCCTTAGTATCAGAATATGATCCGTGGCTGATGTATCTCTTTTCTAAGGTGTGGAAGATCCAGACCGGGCAGTGCCTACGGCGCTTTGAGCGTGCCCACTCCAAGGGAGTGACCTGCCTGTCATTCTCGAGGGACAGCAGCCAACTCCTCAGTGCCTCGTTTGACCAGACCATCAGGTGAGCAGCTCAGCAGTAGTGGGGCTTCTGCCTTGTTGAAAAGTGTGTAGCTGCCGTGCCTACTGCAAGCCTTTTAAAAAAAAAAAGGATCTTGGCACATCTGACGAGTTTTTTTTTTTTTTTTTTTTCTGAAAGAGCCAAATCCACGTGAAGCGAAACTGAGATGAACAGGAATGTGTGCTTATCGGACTAGCTTTGAGCCCTGTACCAAGGCCGCCTTTACATTGCTTTTTCTCGCTTAATATGACCAATTTCAAAGAAATGCCTTTTGTAAATAATGGACCCCCGATATACTCTGAATTTCAGCCAAAATTGGCTTAGTTTCGATTTTTGGATTTGGCTCTTTTAGAAAAGAAACTCCTCATTTGTTCTCTCATGAACAAGCTAGCTACCTTACTACATCTGTAGCATTGCGACAAGCCTGGGTTGGCTTGTTCCGACATGTTGACGGCAGTGTATGACATCCAAGTATTTTCAGATAATGTTTGTAGTAGGTTACCGTAAAGTTCTGCAAGAACGCCCACCCAAAATGAAAAGATAAATGGTGAAAAACATGGGGTGGGCTATCTTTAGGAATGTTACACCAAAAAATTGACCGCATCTCCACGTGGTGAATGATATTGATTGGGGCGAAGCTCTGGTGGTGCTTGTCTGCGTAGACGCTGAGCCGCAGTATGCCGAGCCTTTCGTTCGTTTTCATCCATGTCAGAAAGATAATGTGTGGTATGGAACGTGGTTATATACGCATTTGGGCATTTGACCATAGCACCCTCTCGTCTATAAACGTTGAACCAATGCATGCAAAGTTTAACGCGATTATATACGCATTTGACAGCAGTGCTCTCGACGTTGAGCGGTTACATGCAGCGTTTCATCCATGACATCCCCAGCTCTTAAGTTACTACCACATCTCAGAGCCCCCTACTCGTCCCGCAGTCGTGGCCGAGTGGTTAAAGCGATGGACAAGAAATTCATTGGGGTCTCCCTGCACAGGTTCGAATCCTGTCGACTGCACAAACATTTTTTTTTTTTTTTTCCTACACGAGCACGTGAGCTTACGCGCGCACGAGCACCAGCAAGATCGATGTGAGCATGGATGGTGGACGGACAAGGCTAGACGCCAAGGAGCTTCGCCCCTAAAATTGATCAAAAATTAATGATAAACTTTGGGATACCCGCTACAAACCATGTGACGCGGGAACTGATACTGCAATTAGCGGACGTGGCAAATTCTTGTTTCACAATGTGATAAACGTGCGAGAATTTGCTACAAACTCTTATGTCACGGGAAAGGACACCATAGGTTGCGGACGCAGCAGATTCAAGTTTCATGGTGCGCTAAACACGCGGGAACACGCTACAAACTTGTCTGTCATGGAAGCTGATATCGCGCGCGCAGATCGCAGACAAAAACACGGGAATCAGGTACAAGCTCGAATGTCACGGGAACAATTACCGCAGATCGTGGACGCAGCGGAATCTCATTTCACAATGCAATATACTCACGGAAACCCGCTGTGAACTCGCTTGTCAGATGTACCGATACTTCAGATCACGCTGTTGATGCGATTCTTGTTGCACATCGCTTGACATCCGACAGGAATGGGGGGGGGGGGGGTAATGTTTCAGAATTTGTATGTTACAGATATGTAGCCAGAAAAATGGAATGGGCGATCTCTCGGGGGAGGGCGTGCTTGCGGAATATTACGGTAGACGTTTTCATCAGAAATCAATATTACACGGATGTAAGCCTAGCTTGGTAGAACTGCTCATGCCATGCTGCCTCCCTTTTAATCTGAGACATTTTTTTATGTTACCATGTCAAGAATAGCATATCCTTGAAATCACTTCATAGAACAATGATTTCAGAGACACTGCTCTCTTACTGTTAGATGGCCCTTAAACTGCTTAGGCACTTTTACCCAAAAATCCTTATTTTTTTTTTTTTTTTTTTTTTTAAGTTTATTCTCAAAGCAAGGGAGGTTTCCAGGGAAAACATTTTGGATCAATGGTGACCCGATGTCTCACATAATTTTCGTAAGATCAGAGATTGTGGGTAAATAAGGAAGTTTCTAAAGAATGATACCTACAGTAAGACCTCCTTATAACAAAATGGGATATAACAAACTAATGGATATAACGAAGCAATCATAATTCCCCTTGCTTGCCAATAGTGGGAAGAAATGGACATTGGCTATAACAAACTAATGGTTATAACGAAATAATTGCGACCACTCCTTCAACTTTGTTATAACGAGGTTTTACTGTAGTAGACAATTCATGATATGACTCTATCGGGTATGTTTCTTATTGGGGTTTTTATTCAGTTCACATGATGTGTATGTTCTAATTTTCAAAAGACACATTTACAGATTTCTGAATATGTTGCAGAAAGCTTCAGTTGTTGTGTGCCAATGAAAAACAGCTGCAATGACCGTGCCAAGCAGCTAATCACGTTTTAGCATAAGCTTTTGGAGGAGACTGTTCACTCTGATCTCACTGTCGTCGTGGCGGCTGCACAACCACTGATCAGAGCTTAGACTGTAGGTTTGAACAACTACATGTTTTGTACAAAGGGAGCTGCCAAAGACTTCCATGAATGTGATGAGTGGGTATGGCTGCAGGATCCATGGGCTCAAGTCCGGGAAGCTCCTCAAGGAGTTCCGCGGCCACACGTCGTTTGTGAACGACGTCATCTTCACGCCCGAGAGCAACCACCTGCTGAGCGCCAGCTCGGACGGCACCGTCAAGCTGTGGAGCGTCAAGAGCACCGAGTGCTTGAGCACCTTCAAGTCCCTCGGGGCTGCAGGGGGCAGCGGCATCGGCACGGACATCACGGTAAACTCCATCCACGCCTTGCCCAAGAACCCGGAGCACTTTGTCGTCTGCAATCGGTCCAACACTGTCTCCATCATGAACATGCAGGGCCAGGTAAGCATAAGCCACGGGCCTTCCTTCGAGGTGGCATTGATGAGATTACGGATGGAAAGCACACGAGACAAGCGAAGATGAGCGCACCTTTTGCTTGTTGCAAATTTGTTCTCTTCCTTTGTATTACACAAGTGCATGCATGTAAGCCTTGCATTCATGCAAAGAAGCAAATGCAAAGCAGCGAATGGAAGCGGCATTGCATTTTCTCTCCCTTTTCTGTTATTGGCTCTTTTTAACGTGCGTTTTAAATTGAGACCTTGTTGTCAGTGCAGTCTAACAAATTCCTTTTCTAGTATTTTCGATGAGGCATTGAAAGGCTGCCACGCTACAGCTTTCGATATTCACCTTCATCACCTGCTTATTGGCCAGAATAGTACATTACCAGACAAAATGAAACTAAGCATCATCATCAGATTTCCTTGTGGATATCTGTGTCAAAAGCAAGTATAAACAACCAAGGAACTCTAACACACGCATCTTTCTCGCTTGTCACCACAGAGCAGTGGGACCGAGCCGTGTAAATAGTGGTTCACATTAAAGTTGTTTTTGTTCATGGCTTACAGTCACTATAGTAAAGTAGTAAGCTGGGCGAGTTGGTAAACGTCCCTTCTGTCATGAATCGTGCTTCATCTTTCCTTTCTTCACTTAATATACCAGCGTTGTGAGTACACCAATTGTGCATTTTATGCCTGCTTGGCACTCACAGTGCAGTCTTTTTTTTACTATTTAGCTCTATGATCAGCAATACAAATGTGCTTTCTGACAAATTTATTGCAATACAGTAGAACCAGCTTACTCGCAATATCCGTTTAGGGGACAAATCGTTTGTTACTGTTCTAGTATTTTTACTTTGCCAGCATGTATGTTTACTTGCTGTTTTATGCAGGAGCAAAATTTCTTTAGTTGCCAGTCAGCCCTGTGTTTGTGTGCTCCTTCTTCCAGTCCTCTGTTGTTTTTTCTCAAATATATTTTTTAACTTTAGTTATGCTAAACCAACTAGCCAAAGTCCATGCCTTGTTGCAAACCATAGATTTTATTTCCAGCAAAACAAAGTTGCAGTGAGCTGTGGTAATTCTAGTTCGAAGTACTGACACAGTAAACACCAATGGTAATAGAAAAATTATGTTTGTTATTAACCTCACTGCAGAGCTCTATTATATGAGCCACTTCAGAGGTTAAGTGCTCAATGATTTTCTTGTTTGTTTTCGCAACAGATGCAGCTGTTCACAGGATTGACTTGCAGATTTACACGCTTGCAACACTTATAGATCAAACTTTGGCCTGCTTCGCTCGTTCAGAAAAAGGGTGCAAAGCGAGGCAATCATTTGGGGCTAACGTTCAGAAAGAGCCATAATGCAAAATAACAACCACCTTTGTAGCGATTTCATATAGCTTTGGGACGACTAATGTTAGAACTTGCACACCCAGAGTCAGTTCTGGGTGATGTACCGACACGCATCTAACCGAGCCCGTTGCTTTGGTGCAGATTGTGCGCAGCTTCTCAAGTGGGAAACGAGAAGGAGGGGACTTTGTCTGCTGTACCCTGTCACCGAGGGGAGAGTGGATCTACTGCGTGGGGGAAGATTTCGTCCTCTACTGCTTCTCGACAGTGTCTGGGACACTGGACAGGACACTAACGGTGAGAAGCATAGCCTCTCCTTGTCCATCAGGGCAGTCTGCAATTTATATAGAACAAAAACTCAAATTTAGTTGTGCTATTAGATTCTTCCGTTTAAATCCGCACACCATAACACCTCTACTGCAGTAGCAAATTGTTAATAATAGCCCAGTTATCTTTGTTTTATCGCAGTGTCTAGCGTTTTGCCGACGGAACCTGAAATAAAAATTAAAAGTTACGTCCGGCGTAACTTAACGTCAAGGTTTTGAGTTACGTCCGACGTAACTTTACGTCAAGGTTTTGAGTTACGTCCGACGTAACCCAATATGAAGATTGAAGTTACGTCCGAGGGAACTCCAAACAAAAAATTAAAAGTTACGTCCCACGGAACTTGAAATAAAGATTAAATTTACTTTGGATGTAACTTTACCCTAAGGTTTCGAGTTACGTCCTACGGAAATAAGTTATGGCCTGTGTAACCTACGGAACCTTATTGAATGATACGCTTTGTGGCCGAAACACGACGTAAACCTAAAGATATATATAATTCTGCATTACGTCCGATGCAGCATTGACAAGTTGGTCAAAATCGCTGCTCCATTTGTACCTCCAGGTTTGTTGAGGGGGTTGGAGTGTGGTCCTTGCATGTAGAGGCTGTGTAGGCCAGGTGGGTTCGATACCCGTTACATACACTTTTCTTTTCTCTCGTTTTTTCCTCTCTCTTCTGCAGTTTTTTTCTCCTTTAAGTGTTTTTTTTTTTTTTTTTCGATTTTTTTAAAATATAAAGCTACTTCTTCCTAGCCGCAACACGCAAAAGAAAAGAAAAACATTAACAAAATGGAAACTGCAGCGCACGTGCTGCGACTCTGAGACTGCTGCGGGTGACTTGTCTCTTAGCTGTAGATGGTTGTAGATGAGAAAGTTAGCCAGTGCAGTACAACCGCTAACCAGTTAAGTCTTTAGCCAGCACCACGTAGTAGTAATTACACGAACGTGTGCCGGTACCACGACCTATGCCGGTACGAAACTCATCCAGGTCGAAACGGGCTGCGGGAGCGGGTAACTTTATTTTTTATTTCAAGGTCCGTCGGACGTAACTTTAATTTTTACATGGGGTTCCGTCGGACGTAACTCAAAACCTTAGGGTAAAGTTACGTCGGACGTAACTTTAATCTTTATTTCGAGTTCCGTCGGACGTAAATTTAATTTACACATTGGGTTACGTCGGACGTAACTTTAATTTTTATTTCGGGTTCCATCGGACATAACGCTAGGCGCTGCGTTGTTTTATTTTACAAACTAAGCAAAAGGCAGTAAAAGCTCTGTCAGGGTACTGGGCCAGTGTTACCTTAAGACGGTTTTACGGTAATTCCTTCGAAAGAGATTTTTTTCTCTTGCATTGAGAATAATGTGTGCCATCTTTGTTGCCAGTATCATGGGCAGCTTATCTTAACAAAAAATGAGTAATATTAATGTTTCTAGGAAGCTGTGGCAGCCACAGCCATAACTGACCTCCTCTTTTGGGACTTTGTTCTGGTCACCTCACTTCATGACCGTGCAAGAGGTTATTGCCTTTCTTGACACCATAGTGTTCACAATACAGGATTTGTGCAGGTTCATCACCAGTTTCAGTAGCTCGACATCTCACTAAAAAACAAACAACATATCTGCTTCTTTTTATTTTCAGAGTTGTAGATTTGAAGTTTTCTTGTCTCCAATCTTAGCATTTTCTAATGAACCGGTTTCATTTGAGCTTTGGCTTGGGGCACTTGTAATGGAGTTTAATATGCCACAGGAAATGCATTGACACCATAGGTTTTGGCTCTTTCATGCACTTTGGAAACCAATATCTGTCACTCAAAAGGGTGGACTAGAGCTACTGAAAGTTTGTAGAGTACCACATTCCATAGTATCTGTTTGAAGTGGAGATGCGAGAAGATAGAGCTTCCCTATTGGGTGATGTCAGCCTCTTTGATGTCGGGAGAAGAAAAAAAAAAAGTATGTAAAACGTGTATGCGTGATGACTCCGAGTCACCAGTGAATTACTCCTGATCAGAAAGAGATAGTCATGTCAATTTTTACTAGGGCTTGTTGTATTGGGTAGCCCATAATCTGGCACTCTAAAACATAATTCTGGCAAGTTTGCCCGCTGGCAAACACGCCCTGTCCAGGCTCGATTGCACGGTGCCAGCATATTGTAGCCATCGACTTCAGCACCATGATACAGTTCCAAAACAATGTTTGAGAGTTTTGGTACCCATGGAACATTCAATGGCTCTAGGATAGACATTTTGTGCATATCTTGCATGCTTCCACTACCATGGCCATCAACATACAGGGCATTTGTTTTTAGGCTTTACAGAGTATAGCTTTAAAAAAGCCGCGAAAGCTATATACTACTGCAGCCTGCACAGGCGAATTATATGGCCTGGGGGACATAATATAGGGGGACGAACGTCACAATAACTAAAATTGGTTGATCAGCTTCCTTAATTAGTGAAGATAAACATTGTTTACCACTAAATGAGTAAATTTTAGAAAGTTTTCGGGGGTGTAAAAAGCGTGGTGGTGCTCTAAAGTTACCACTCGTGCATTGGGCACAATGCTGGTGGTGCGAAAACATGCCCAAGCGGTTTTTCCATCTCTTTATCATCCGCATTTAACACCACCGGCATTGCACCCATTGGAAGAGTGGTAACTTTAGTGCATTACTGTGCCTTCCCTGCACTCAGTCTTTCTAAACTTCGCTTATTTAGTGGTTTTCTGACACTCGGCAAGTTTCTAATATTGCAATTTATGGAAGAGACTAGCAAATGACAAGGCAGATATTACATTTTCATGCATAAATGCTACCTGTGCTGCAATAGAGACAATGCCCCCAATCCAGCGCAAATGTACCATTTATTTCGATAGGCCCTCGCACAAACTTTTATGTTCATTACAATTGGCAGTTTTCTCCTCGCCTCCTCTTGAGCAGCCGCTCTGCAAAAGTGGAGGGCTTTGTGGGAGCTGCTTTGCTTAACCTGCGACACACTAAAGGGATGTTGGTCTGTGCCAACAAGAGGAGCAGCAATATTTCTAGTGTGAACAGTACACCACCAGTATGGTGCCCGATGCGTTTACCGTCTTGTCCCACCCATAAGTCAAAAGTGGTCCTGAAATGGCACAGAAGCTGGTGTGTCACGTTGTCGGGTGTTGCAATCCTGGCAGGTGCTACAAGTCCCCAGCAAAAAGTATGAGTGAATGCGAGTGTTGCTGTTGTAGCACACCAGTTTTAGACGTGTTGCAGGCATCATACAACTAGTATTTATATTTTGATGGGAGGAACCGGGCATTCTTAAAGCCTTAACAAATTAACTTCTAAGCTGTTTGCTGCCTCTTCTACAGGTTCACGAGAAGGACGTCATTGGCATCAGTCACCACCCTCACCAGAACCTGATTGCCACCTACAGTGAAGATGGCCTGGTGAAGTTGTGGAAGCCATGAACCAAATCTGTAAATAAACTGCATATTGTGGTCATCACAACCAAATCTCCCGTACCCTATGCAATGTGATAGTAGGGACTTTCATAGACTATTGAGTCCCATATATGAAGCCATGTTTTACAACAAATTTTTATTTGCACATTTTCTAGTATCCACACTGCAGTGCGCAAGGCTAGGCAGAAAGGTTGGGACCTTTATGCAGGTGCTCCTGCTAGCCCGCCTCTGAGTGGATGCATTTATAATTGAAGTTACCATCCAATAAAAATTAAGTGCCAAAATAATCTGCCCAATCTAGCGGGCGACGCGCAGCGCAGTCAATGCCGCCGTGTGCACACAGCCAACACTGAGCATTACATCCAAAACTGGAAGAATTGTTGTTTGTTTCTTACTTTCCAAGGCACGGATGGCGAGGGAGGGTCACGCCGTTTGCCGCTTTCATTGATAACATAGCCAACGTCTCCGTACCATGTCATGTCCAGTAGTTGACGACGAGGACCAATGTTTATTTGTAGTTTTGACATGGTAATCGCCCGCAATCCAAGAATTCTCGGAATAGAATAGGACATGCAGACATAAGTATGGAGGAGGCAGTGCAGATTGTACCTGTCGATACTACTGCATTTCGACACTTAATTGTTTATTGGATGGTAACTTCAATTATAAATTCATCCACTCGGCGGCGGGCTAGCAGGAGCACCTGCATAAAGGTCCCAACCTTTCTGCCTAGCTTTGTGCACTGCAGTGTGGATACTAGAAAATGTGCATATAAAAATTTATATTATTATGAAATAAGGTACAAAGAGTCAAGCATATACCCAGAACCAGTCAGATTTAGAGGTTTAAACCTTCAAATTTGATTTTATGACTGCTGAGCAGAAGTGCTATGTGTAACCACTTGTCATGCACCTGGTTCTGGGCATTTTGCTCTTCACTGTTTTTGCACCTTTTTTTATAACTGAATCCCAGCAGAGGGCCGAAGATAAATTTCAATTATCGGGTATCTTTTGAGGTGCAACCAGAATCTCAATTACACGGCGTCTTCTCCACAATAAGCCTCCGTCAGATTGCAGGCACCTTGGCCGGGATTCAAACTCGCCACCCAGGGGTCCGTAGGCCAGCCCCTTGCCTCACAGCCACCGAGGCAGCTTTCTGCTCAGCAGTGGTTTTCGGGCATTGACTCAAGGTTGGGATCCTCAACCTAGCAGACCACAGGAGTCTAGACGGCAACCACAGCTAAACTCGGAAACTATCTTTATTGCTTGATGTTAGTGGTAGGCATCTTCCAGCGTTGCTGTCTTCTCACTTAAGATTGAAAAAAAAAAAAAGGATTAGAATGTGCAAACTTTCCAAACATTTCTGGATCCTCAACTGAAGAGTACACACTGCACACATTCAATGACTGGCACTAAAACTGAAAGGTATTAGTGGGCCACATTCCTCGTGCTGGGGAAGCACTCTTAAAGATAGTGTGACTGTACTCCTAGCTTTTTGGACCTTGAACTTGGAGCCAAAGTTGTCAAAGGATGCCTTTTTGTCATCTACAGTGTGCAACACGTTTCATGGAAAGGTGACAGCAAATATTCAACCAGTGAACATGCACACCCTACTGGGAGGCTAGAATTCAAGGTCATATAACTAGGGTTCCACATTTCTAATATAACACCAATAAACAATAGAAAAGTAACCCCCAAGGTGGTTTTCCTGGAATCAGTGATGAGGCACAATATTGAAAAAACTTAAATTGGCCCTGTTTTTGAATATGATAAACCCAGACTTCACAGGAAGGTATCTTTTATATCTTCTACATCTTCATTTTCTGTTGGCCGGGAATAAACCCCACAATGATGTTTCTTTCTTCTGGAACCACACTCACTGTCACATTTTCTTCTCTGCTTATCAGGCCTTTTGCATTGCTTAGAAAGGCTATATAGAAATGATATCCAGACATAAGCCCTAAAAAAATCACATTTCGTGCCCTATACTGAACATACATGCCAAAAAAATGAAAGCCGTTTACAACTCCCTGTAACGCCGAATTAGAGCGCAGCTCTTGAGGAGGAGGAGTGAAGGGTACTGAGGGGAGGGTATACCCTTTGTCCCTCCTCACCTCCTCATCCTGTCTGCTACTCTTCCCTTCTAGCGGCGTCGCCTCACGTGGTCCCTGTGAGGTCACGTGACGATGAGATCACTGATGACGTCATCAGTGACGTCGCACGTCCCATTATGCACCGTGCAGTTACACTGACGGCGACGCCGCTCAAGCTGGAAACAGGCGCCTAAGAGCTGCGCTCTAAAAACACCAAACCTAAAAAAAAAAAAAAAAAAAAAAAAAAAGCTTGTTTTTGTTTTTAATATAAGAAAATGAACCCTGAAAACACGAAACCCTGCATATAACCAGGGATTTCATTTGGGACGGGTGTTTCGCTGCTCTCAGGCTCGCTTGCCTATTCTAAAACCCGTTCACACACTGCCACTCCTTGAAATTTCTTAAAATTTTTTACAAAAGAACACGCTGGCGGCCTCTATGCAGTGACCCTGGAACTACTTATCACTAGAGCGAAGGTTTTGCGAGATTTCAGAGGTCAAATATGCGTAATACCTATGAGAAATGGTAATTTATTTATTGCTTATAACGTAGACAAAAATGTTTTGAGCCGAGAAAGGATGATGCGCGAGAGAAATAGAAAATATGCGGGACCGCCAAGTTTACACTGCTACCCAACAGATTGCGCCAGTGTGTCCTCTCGTCGTAAAAGATTTTAAGAGGTCCCAAGGCACTCTGTCTCATTAAGTTGCAAGTGTGTGAACAGGCCTTGCATGTTTGGGGTCCTGCCACAAATTTTTACCAAGTACCATTTGCCGCAATGTTAACGTGCGCAATGTTAACTTAGGGGGTTGTAGGCTTAATAAACAGTTGAACCATCCTTCACCTGGGAATCAAGTACATCCACCATAAGTGGTGCACTGAACTTCTTCTCGGTGGGCACTTTTGGGATCTTTAACTTTTCGTAGGTACCTTTCCACATATTCAAGTCCGTGGTCACCCTTCGACGAGTAGTCTTCAAGGTACGGCTTGCTCAGAAGCTCCTCTTTGTAGCTCTTGAGAAAGTAAATCCAGGCTGTCCGACGTATGCTATTCCCTGAGAGGTCCACACCTTGTACCTCTTCTTCTGTCCTTACGTAGTACTGTGGATGACCTTCAAACTCGTCCAGAAAATGCAGCATTTTTTCGTCAACACTGTATATTTCTCCACTTACATTCTGAAAAAAAAGTCCCAAGCATAAACCCCAATGCAACAGCCATACATGGCTTACACATGATGCAGTACAGGTAATTACTCGTATTGCTTGCTTTGAAGTAAAATATGCTTCAATGTGAAGTAATTATGGTAAAAGAAATAGCTCATTAAAGAAATTGGTATGATGGAAAACAAAGTGATGGCGATGCAAGCAACCTATAATGCCATGTTTGGACACTGACACTGGTTTTTCTGCCTTTGGTTTTCCAGCTGTAGGCGGCCCCTGAACCATTTTATTGTGTATTTATTTTCAAGCTTGGATTTCACTGTTTTATTGAATCTATCTAATGTGACAAAATGTGAATCTGTTTTTTGTATATTCTGCATTTACTACTTATTTAGAGTTTAGCAAAGCGAAAAGCATGCTTATTTGGTTTATATTGTTATGCTAGAGCACCACATCAAGTCAAGCTACATTCAGGAGATTTTTGACTGGCGTACTCAGCACAAATGTTTATAATCTTGTTCTCACTTAACACACAAATAACAATAATAATAAATTGCAAAAGGATAAAAATTCGGCACAGTAATGTAAGGAAGCATTTGAACAGCACAGATTCCTGTTGTTGATTCGTAAGAGCGGCATATATCAAGATCCCATTGAAAAATATTCCATTGAAGTAAACTGCATGTAATGAAGTTAAAAATCTACCACCTGTGCGTTTTCCATGGACTTTGAGTCGGTCATTCACTAGAGCCACTGTTATGGCAGCTTTGGCGGGAAAATACGGTTGCCGCACATATATTTACAGATATGATTAGACTATGTAACTCACGTGTCCTCTGCCTTCACAGGGCAGTAAATACGGAATGTTGAAGGATGACCCAATCACGAGCGGCCACCGCTTGACTGTCTTGCCCCTTCCAATCAACTCGGCATGCCCGTTCTCTTGACTTCTCATGACTGCGTAGTTGGGCTCACCAGTCTTGAGGGTGCCGTACACAAACACGCAGTACTGCCGAGGGGCAGCAAGAGTCGACGACATTCTCGCTATCTGACGCCAGCAGTGAAGGCAGTGCGGGTTCGTTACCACCCCCATCCGGTTTAGTCGACGCGCCAGCAGCGCGCAAACAAAACCGCTGCTATCGCATCAGGTCGTTCGTATCGCAGCTGTTATGCAGGCAGACTTGGCCAGACACATGCACAACAAAACAATTGGCGAGCATTACGCGCAGGAAGCCCGATCATATGCCTGGCACGTCGCTGGTTCACTTTATAAGTTTCAACTCCTCCGAAAATCCACGGGAGCGACCGGAGGGACAGGGACCGACGGCAAATGTGACGGTGGCGCCTCTAGCGGACTCGGAGTTTATGGAAGCGGACGACGCAATGGAAACCCAGGGAACGTTAAACCCAGGCTTCAAATAATTGGTCGACCCAGCGAGGTTCGACCAATTATTTGAAGCCTGGGTTTCCATTGCGTCGTCTGCTCCCGTAAACTCCGCGTCCGCTAGAGGCGTTACAAAAAGCTTAGGATGGGACCTCAAAAGAATTAAGATTAAACTTGGCGCATCCGCAGAACAACAAGCTCAGGAACGAGCGGGTAAGCCGAAACCGACGTTACTAGAATACTCAGTTGGGAAACTCGCCGTCGAAACTTGGGCCGCTGGCGTCCACCAAGACCCAGAGCCGTACTGCCAAGACCGAGCTAAACCAATACCACGATAACAGCGCCACTCTTCATCATTTCTCTGTACTGTACCTTGAGCTTTTAGAAAGCATGTTTTTGCGTAAAAACAAACGAAAAAGATTCTTTTTATATGAAATTTATTGGAGTTTAGTACCAAATGATGGGCGCGTGATGTTTTTAATATATTTAGGTTGCAGGGTTTTGCGGCACAATTAATATTGTTTTTATACAACCATGCCTCACCGATGCTTTCAGGTAGCGCGTCCCGACCTAAGTGCATTTTAACTTCGGTAGTAAGTCGCGGCGCGTACGCTGGGGAGACGGGGGTGGCACTCCTGTAACCTTTTCCGCTGTATCTGTTCGGCTCCACAATGGCCGTTTAAAGGGGTAGTGAAACGAAATTTTGGCGCCGATCTTGTTGCATAAATATGGGCTAGGGACAGGCACCACCTCGGAAATATAACTATTGCGCTGTAAAACACAGGAGAACTAATTTTAAACATAATTAAACAATTTCAAATTCTCATCTGGTGGATGGGGGGAAGTTCTCGTGACATCACTTGTGCCAAAATAGCAGCGCCGTTCTGCGGCAATACGGCGTGCCGGCAGAATTGGCCTAGGCCTGAACGCGTTTGCAAAGCCTTGGCGGAGAACGCCAAAGCGTAGTTGGCCACAGTGAGCTCGTTCTCGTTGCGGCTCTTTCCACGACACGGCCCGAGCATGCTTCTGGCACGGCCGGTATTAGTTGCTGCGAGTCGCGAGCTGCGAGCCGACGTTAAAAAGGATATGTTTGAACTACGAGGGTGTTAGCAAGAGCCACGCAAATGCCAAATACCTGTTCACACTCGGAGCGGACACGCGCGTTTGATCGAAGTGCTGGATTCGCTCTGTTAGACCGCGTTTCGGTAAGCGCTTCTGGACCGATCTTTTACGATTGCAACTCGATACTGACATGACACTCGGCAAAGAAAAGTTAGACCGACACTGACGTAGCGTCGAGTCAGAATAAAAATGGCATACAAATAACAGAGTGTACATACCGAGTTGTCAAGGTAATCCGCATGGCGTTTATTTGAGCTCTATATCACACAAAACAAGGAGATAGAATCAATGAGAGTCCCTTTTCCGACGACAGCGATCGTCACCGCTGTCTCGGAAAACAAGGAGATCGAGATGACAAGGGGAAAATATTGACGTCTGAAATTTAGTTCAGGGATCAAACTACTCATCCGGTAAGGGTCCACAAGGGTCGCGCGGGCATATTCCATTCAGCAGGCCAGCCGGTCATGGACAGACGGTCTTGGCCAAGGACCGCCGGAGCAACGGTGCGCCGAGTCGATGTTGCTGCTAGGCCTACTATATTCTGCCGAGCGGTCGGCAGAATCGTGGCTGTTGTAGCTCTTCTCGTGTGTTTGTGGATCCTGCGTTCTTGATCGTCGTGGTCTGTTTTAAGTACTCCTTCCTTTTTTCTTGCTGGTTGAAGTCGGGACGCACGAGAAGAGCACGAAGAAAAATAAATGTCCGTTGGTGGCCGATACCAAGTAACTGAGCGACGCTGTCGGCCTTGTTGATTTGATCGTAAAAAGTGCGTAAGACAGCTTCGGAGCTGTCGTAGAATACTGTCGTAACCTGCGCAAAGGTTACGACAATTTCGTTTCGAGAGCACGAGTTTTCTCTCAAATTTGTCGTACGCACTTTTTTCGTCGTGAATTCGCTTTGAGATTCCGGCCTCAGAGCTGGCTTCGTCAGTGCTGCCGTGGTTGCCGACTTGCCGTGGTGCAGCGTGCGTGCAGCCCTTGCACATCTCAAACGGCCACGTTGTCACAGGTCGTAAATCGTCGACGCGCCACCAAGTGGCAACGCTCGTAACCACAACATTCACGCCGTAGCCTTTCCCGACCGGCACAAGTGACGTCACGAATGCGCCCAATATCCCAAGACGCATCGCGCTCTCCGATGGCCGATTTTTGAGCGCGCGCCCAATCGGGCCCATTAGGGTGAAAAATATAGCCATCCGTTCAAAATACAAACGCGCGATTATGATTTATGAATATCATTGATCATATTGAACCTATTTCTGACCATAATAGGTGTATTTCAAGTTTCGCTTCAGTATCCCTTTAAAGCCAAAATAGAAGGAACGTACAGTTCCTCGAGTGGCCGCTGCGGGAGAAATGGCGGCGTTGTGTTCGTCATTAGTTCGGTTCTCAAGGACAGATCGGGGCCACTTTTTCAGATTAGTCTCTATGGCAGTTTCCCAACTGAGTGTTTTAGTAACGTTGGCCGAAACTAAGGGAAGCTCAAATTCAAAAAGTATCTAAAAGTATTGAGAACACAGTATCGAAACAACGGGAAAAGAATGAACGTATGAGGATTTAATAGGAATCTTTATAAAGAATTAGAGAAGCATCGACGGTGAAAAAGGAAGGAGGAAAGCAAAAACGAAGATACGAACCAAACAGCTGGTGGGAAAAGGCCACTGAGGCGTCAAGGGAGCATAGGTGGGCAAAGAAGAGGGGAGCTTTGCCAGCTGAAGAAAGGGAAGTCCTACAACGAAATTTCGGCGCTCATTTTTTGGTCTATATGTGTTCAAAAGAGCAGTATCACATGGAACATACCAATATCTTGTTAAAAAAGTCTCGAAAAGGAATTTTAAAACGAATTAAACGATTAGCAAAGAGCACCTGGTGGATGTCGCTAACGCCTCGTTTGTAATGCTCGTCTAGGAACCTTGACAGCTAGTGACGGAGGTTGTCTCGTCTCCGGCCACGGCGAGAGAAGGGGGGAAGGAAGAACTCCCCTCTTCCCGAGAATCCCTTTTGTGTGTCGCAGAAGTCGCTATTGTCCCCCTAGAAGATTATAGAAGATTAACCCGTCAGTCAAAATTCGTACAAAAGCAGCCGCTTCGGTGGCTGGAACGACTAGGCCATCCTCTCGACGTCTGCCTCGTCGTAGCTTTGCTCGTCTTGAGACGACCTACGTCACGATTGCGTTGGATGTCACGTGCCCTAATCTGGGCCTTCTCCGAGCGCTTGCCAGAGTGGGCCGTTTATAACGAAAAATACAGCCACCAGGATCAAAATACAAACGTGCGATTGTCATTTACGGATATTGTAAATCCTATTCAACCTATTTTTGAACACGACGGGAATATTTCAAATTTCGTTGAAGTATCCCTTTAAGAGGGAGCGCTCCTCCTAGCCCCATAGAGAATACACGCGATTTTCTGCCATTTTACGAAAATTCTCATTTAATAACCGTTACACCGATTTTTTCAAACTTTTTTGCTATAAAAAGATTCATTCTTCGTCCAACTATCCCACCGAGCATATTTTTCATAAAAATATTTATTATATTTTATATTAAATCGTGAAATCGGTCGGAATTGGCTGTTTTGACATGTTTACGTTAGAACGCGTTTTTAAAAACCTGTGAATTTTTAACTACAAATGTGTCTGGTGGGATATCTGCGGAATTTAACACGGAATTCAATTATATTAAAATTATAGCTGTAAGTACATCCGTTCTTTAACTACATCGAAAAAACTCAACCAAGGTGTTGTGGCTTGTTTTCCTCGTTTGGACGGTCAAGACTAGTTCGACGAGCGCCGCGTGAGGGCGCCACCATTTCGCCACGCACGCTGCTCTGATTTTGTATTACTCCGCGCGCATGCGCTCTTCAGTAACGCGCTTGTGGTGGTCCAGAGACGGCGACGGCGAGACCCGTCAGGCAGAGTGGTTTTGTTTCTCGGGGTGGGATGTCAGGCGGATAGCTGTGCGTGTTTTCATAACTAGAAAGGCCGTCCTCGCAGCTATGGGTCCAAAGAGGTATAAATATGGCAAGCGAAAGGTCTCGAAGTCGCAAATAGAGTTTGCACGTAAGCGACCCTCTGCTGAAACTACGGATGGTGAGGTTGCAGGTGAGGTTGAGTCATTGTGTCGTCGCGCTGCGAGAACGAATTGACTCGGGGTGTTGAAGATGCCGCTTGGGAAGCCATGCAACAGGCCGGAGTGGAAGAAGCGAGGCGCGCGAAGGAATCTGGCGAGATCGATGCCGAAGGCTATCCGCTTGTTACCGTCGTTGCAGACTGTGCGTGACCAAAGCGATCGTACAGGCACAAGAACGACGCTCCTTCTGGTACGGTAAGTACTACATTTCTTCCTCTAAAAGGGGCGCGAATTTTGATCGTAGATATAATATACATTTCTTTAGAGTGCGTTCGAAAGAAATCCGAAGCATGTTTTTCTCGCCACGAAAATACATTAGTCTCTGTCGCTAGGCTACATTTGGGCGGACGCTGAGCATTTGGCAATGCGTAGTTTATTTTTATGGTGAGATGACCGTGGTTAGAATCCCTCTCTGTTGTATGTGTATTTCTGTGAATGCAAGATTTGTTTCGGCAACTGGGGTGACGATTTCTCACGAAGCACTGGAAACAGTTATGCTTTTTGTGTGCTTGTTTTAGTGACCGCTGTTTTATGTACTATACATTCCGAATATACGCGGTGCCATGCAGTCAGTTCGTCAGACGACGTTTTAGACAGCTCGTTTCTTCGAAGCTGCACTTTTTCAAGGATAAATCGTTCCATCGGAAATAGCCGGCGTTCGTTTCATCGATACACCTTGTGACGTTTCGTCTAGTTTTTCTATTATGTGCGTGCTCG